CCAAATTTTCACCGGAAAGGCAAACATGCTCTCTCAACTGTCCAGTCCAAAAAAGTAAGTCTTTATCTCCTGAATCTTATCCAGGTGTATGTTGGTTATTTTTATCTTCACGGTCACATAAAACTTGCTCAGGCTTAAGACAGTGAAAGACCTCAAGTTAAAGTTTGGACATCCTAAAGTTCTGATCCTTGGTAATGTCATCGTCTTGATGCTCATCCACTAGAATGCTGCCAACCACCATGCAATGCCTGTGAGTTAAAGGAGCTATTTTTAGTAGGCTTACAAGTATGGCTTCCTGAAAAGGCATTTGACATATAGATATTTGAGCCTTGCACAGAGCGGTGGCCTGTGGTATAAATGTCATGATGAGATGCCCCCAAGCAGTTGTATGGTCATGTTATGTTTGAAAATACCTCTGAAAATACCAGATGTGTTGCCTACATTTCCAGGTAGTAAGCCTGTGTGGCCAGTGTGGTGCTTCAGAGGCTTCTGGTGGTGTTACTATACTGTATGTAATTCTGACATGCAGTACTGGATTACTCAGATGGCCGTGTGCCTTTTAGCCTGAACCACCAGCCCACTGGCTGAAAGATGATATGTATACTGGCAACAAACCATGAGATAAAATAGGTCTGATTAATGAATATAGAAATATTAATTGGGAAGAATAATTTAACCAATTCTTATGTAAACAGACATTGTAGTTTACCTTTATTCTTTACAAGTAAAAATATGGTGATGTAAATTCCATTAGGAAAAAGATAGAAGTATTATGATAGGTAATATGATATGAATATTACCTAAATATGAATTTAGGTTTTAAAAAATAACTTTTGTTGAACTTCAACCATCTGAATCAAATGTGTTGAAGAAAGGAAACTTATAAAACATGCATCAAGAAGACTATTGGAAGTAAAATACCGGTCAAAGAAGACCAAAGGTCCTCTGGGAAATGTCTCAGCAAATGCAAGACTGCATTTCCACCAATTCCCATTTTGAACTTGAGTGAAGGTATCTATTCAATGTAGATTTCAAAATCCAGCACAAAGCCATCTGGACTTGGAAGAACAAACACCATCAGTCCTGTTGGATTTAGCTTCCCAGATAAGAATGGAACAATACAGAACTATGTTGGTCTTGGCAGGTGGTGGCAACCTTGGAGAATTTCTATCAGGAGTTGGTTTGACTTTCCACAAAATAGTTTTTTTCATCTAGTTCATGAGCCAATTTCAATGAAGAACCAATCTTGTAAAACGATGACGTATCACTGAATCAACTACACTCAAAAAAATGAACTTTGGGGGTTATTACATTAACAAAAGAATATCATGTACTTTTAACACAATAACTGTGCTATTCTCTAGCTCTTTGTCCACAGGAAATGTGGACTCATGACATTTGAGTTTACTGACAAGAAAGGGAAAACTTTGAAGGCAAGGCTCTTCATTGTGCACAGAACATCCACTGATCCTAATTTTGTTCTCTTTTAGAACTAGAATGAATGACTGTACCATCAGTGAAGTACCATCAGAAAGTCTCATTGAGAATGTGAATGCAGCATTGAGAACGATCCCTACCAACACCATGACAGAAACCAATGAGCTGATCTACAACTCAGCATCAGTGATCCTTGAGATACTTGGCTATAAGAGCAACCATGAGACCCAATACCCACCATGGAAAAGACGGTTAGAGGCTAAAATCAAGGTAACAAGGAGGGAAGTGAGCCAACTGTCAGAGTCCACAAGGGTACAATGAAAAGACCAGTACCAGAAAGTACAGCCAGATGCCCATACCTGAAGCACTCGAGACTGCCAAACAGAGGCTCCAAGCCTTGGCCAGCCGCCTAAAGAGATACACAAGGGAGAATGAATCCAGAAGGATTAACCGGCTCTTCTCCACTCAACCAGCTAAGGTGTACTCTCAATGGCAGGGTAATAACAACAGAGAAGAACCACCAAGGCTGGAGACTGAACAATACTGGAAAGGCATATGGGAAAGGGAGGCGTCCCACAACAGCAATGCACAAGAAAGAGTCTCAGGTATGAAAAACTGGACAGCACCAGGGCCTGACATGATCCATGCCTACTGGCTGAAGAAACTCACTGCCCTCCATGAGCGACTGGCAGCCCAAATGAACCAGCTGCTACAAAGTGGGACTCACCCTGAATGGTTAACTGAAGGGCGGACAATCCTAATCCAGAAGGATCCATCAAAGGGTCCAGTCCCACCCAACTACCGACCAATAACCTGCCTCTCCACAACCTGGAAGCTCATGTCAGGCATCATAGCGGCCAAGTTAAGCAAACACATGGATAAACACATGAGCACGGCACAGAAGGGTATCGTGTAAATACCAGAGGAGCCAAACACCAACTCCTCGTAGACCGCACAGTTGCCCGAGACTGCAAAACCCGACACACCAACCTGTGCATGGCTTGGATTGATTACAAGAAAGCCTATGACTCAATGCCTCATACTTGAATGCCTAGAGATGTATAACATCAACAGGATTCTGAGAGCCTTCATTGCAAACTCGATGAGGCTGTGGAAAACCACCCTTGAAGCCAACTGCAAACCACTTGGACAAGTGTCCATCAAATGTGGCATATACCAAGGAGATGCTCTGTCCCCGCTACTGTTCTGCATAGGCCTGAACCCCCTCAGCCAAGTTATCAACAAGACTGGCTACGGATACCGACTCAAAAATGGGGCCAACATCAGTCACCTTCTCTACATGGATGACATCAAGCTGTACGCCAAGAGTGAGCGAGACATCGACTCACTGATCCACACCACCAGGATCTACAGCAAGGACACTGGAATGTTATTCGGACTAGAGAAGTGTGGTCGGCTGATCACAAAGAGGGCTAATGTGATCCGCACAGAAGGAGTCTCACTCCCAGAAGGAACAATAGCAGACATAGAGGACAGTTACAAGTATCTAGGTATACCACAAGCAAATGGCAACCTCGATGAGGCCACAAGGAAAGGAGCCACAGCTAAATACCTCCAACGAATAAGGCAAGTCCTGAGAAGCCAGCTCAATGGCAAGAACAAAATCCGTGCGATAAACAGCTATGCCTTGCCAGTAATCAGATACCCTGCTGGAATAATTAGCTGGCCAAAGGAGGAGATAAAAGCCACAGATATTAAGACTCAAAAACTACTAACCATGCTTGGAGGGTTCCATCCCAAATCCAGCACCCTGAGACTGTACACGAGCCGCAAGGAAGGAGGCAGAGGACTAGTGAGTGTGAGAACCACTGTCCAGGACGAAACAACTAAGATCCATAAATACATCAGGGACAAAGCCTCAACAGACAATGTGCTCAATGAATATGGACTGGAAACCCTGAGATCAAAGTGGGAAACACCCCCAAAGGTGGTGGAGAACACCAGAGCTAAGATCCTGTGGGACTTCCAGATCCAGACAGACAAAATGGTAATGGCGAACCAACCAGACATTGTCGTAGTGGATTAACAACAGAGGAAAGCCGTTGTGGTAGATGTAGCAATACCAAGAGATTGCAACATCAGGAAAAAGGAGCACGAGAAACTGGAGAAATACCAGAGCCTCAGGGAAGAACTGGAGAGGGCCTGGAAGGTGAAGACCACAGTGGTGCATGTGGTCATCGGGGCCCTCGGGGCAGTAACCCCCAAACTGGAGCAGTGGCTACAACAGATCCCAGGAACAACATCAGACATCTCAGTCCAGAAATGTGCAGCAGTCCTTGGCACAGCCAAGATACTGCAGGACCCTCAAGCTCCCAGGCCTCTGGTAGAGGACCCGAGCTCAGAGGATAAGAACCACCCGCGGTGGGTGAGAAGGGAATATATATATTGCTCGTTATTTATCCACTGCTCCAGTTCGGCCCATTGAGGGCCCCGATGAACTCAGGCACCATTGTGGTCTTCACCTTCCAGATCTTTTCTAGTTCCTCTCTGAGGAACTGGTATTTCTCCAGTTTGTCATATTCATATATATAAAGAAAATATATTTACTGTATTTTAAAGGACTGTATTTTCAAGAGCGGCTGCGACTGAAGATCCTTCCAGCCCACAGTATGATTCTCTGAACACACTGAAGCAAATGAAGATTCAGATTTAGATTCATTAAGTTGAACAGACATTACTTTAAAAGAATTATTCATACCCCTTGAACCCTGTCAGTTTTCAATATTGTCAGGCCTCTGTGCATTACTGTGAAGTAAATGGAAAATAAGTAGTTATATAATTGTTTGCCAATAAAATGAGGAAACAGTAGAGTACATTTGTGGCCTTTACTCTGATACTGTCAAAAAAGGGTTTTATAATCAGAACATAACTTCAATTGCTAAATCCAGTTTAATTCTGTTTGTGGACTCAGAAGTTTGTTAGCAAACACTGGGGGACAAACACTGGGGGACAAACACCGGGGGACAAACACCAGGGGACAAACACTGGGGGACAAACACCGGGGGACAAACACTGGGGGACAAACAGCATCTTGGAAACCAGGGAACCATCAGGAAGGTCTGGGAGAAAGTTGTGGAGAAGTTTCAAACAGAGCCAGGTTTGTTAAATGTCCAGCATGTTCAAACCCCAAAGACGTTTTAGCTGGACCTGCAGAAAACTATTTCTTTCTATCTCACAAAGATACATCACTCTGTGTTGGAGTATGACATATTTGTCATGAATATTTCTGCTTGTCATACTGGACTGTTGTCCACACCATTGGTATGAGGCAAATATACAGCGTTGTGCAAACTGTGGACCAAAACGGGATGGTGATTGAAAATAAGAGAATCTGCACTTGGCAGATGGTGTTGTTGAATCATTATATTTAATGAGGAGAAATGTGTTTTACAATATGATATGGTTTAATATTCAGCACCTCATCATGGTGCTCAAATCGTACGTTATTTATTCACTGTCATGATTGTTATATATGCTAGTGCTGCATAAACCTTACAACATGAGCTGTATGTAACTATTCCTGTGTTCTGTGTCTGGTGCAGTGTTTCAACAGCAGGCTGTACACAGCACTCTGGAGCAACACAAGCAGAAGATGAAACAGGAAGGAGGCGGCGCCGTCGCCTGTCACAACTGTGGGAATCCCTGCAAGGGGGAGGCTCTCCGTGTTCAGAACAAACACTTTCACTTAAAGTGTTTTGTCTGCAAACGTATGTAACTCCTGCTTCCTACTGTTCCCTCCAGTCTGTTTCCACACAAACAAAAGGCCAAGCTAATCCATCTCAATGCTGACTGTGTGCCATGAAATAGAATTTGGGTTGAAGGGTTAGGGTGTGTGTGTTGTTAACTGGAGTTACTGTGTGTGCCATTCCCTGCACTGACTCTCACCATAAAGTCTGTGTTAGACAATTGTTTTCAATATACACTGTGGTTGCTAAGCAACAGAGGGGATCTTAAAAATAATGACAGCTTCATAACCCGATACTGGCCAGCAGGCCCCACCATCTTTGAGCCTATGACTACAGCATGAAGCAGCAGCATTACCCATGATGCAATTTATAGCAATAATATTTGAAACAATATAGCAATAATTTGGGTGCTTAAAAGATAGAAAATGATGTTATTCATATTATTTATTCATGTGTAGTTGTTGGTTTCAACTAAATATTTAATTAGTAAGCTAAACAGAGGCATAGTTTTTCTCCAGTTTGTCATATTCATATATATAAAGAAAATATATTTACTGTATTTTAAAGGACTGTATTTTCAAGAGGCATAGTTTTTCTAACTATGCCTCTGTTCCTGCTTTTCTATAGCCAGGCTTCACAAAAATAAGAAGGTTGATTTAATAGTTTTGCAAACTAATATTTGATGTTAGTTACCAAATATTTTATTTGCTCACTAAATATTAAAGTTGGAGCCAAATGCCTCTAACTAAATGTTTAGTGAGCAAGCTAATTTAGTGTAACTCTAAATAACTGATGGAATCTTGGTTTATAAAGGAGAAATATTTGCTTTAGTTTTTACATTTTACCATTATTTTTATGCCTTGGGATTCCCCTGGAGGAGCTGGAAGAAGTGGCTGGGGAGAGGGAAGTCTGGGCCTCCCTTCTTAGGCTGCTATTCCTGCGACCCGACTGGGATAAACGGAAGAAAATGGATTGATGGATGGACTTAATAGAATCAATATGATGCAGCTAACAATACATTTTATATGGGTTCCAGCTCATCATGAGGTTGAGGGAAATGAAACCGCAGGCGAGATGGCTATGGAGAGTACCAATCGGGTAAGGTTAGATATTAATGTTACTTTTAGTATCACAGAAATTCAACCTGGAAAGACTCACACACACAGAAAGAGAGAGTAGAATTAGAAAGTTTAATTGCCAAATGAAAGTCTATGGCACTCAGATCCAGGAGGAAGACATTGTACTGGTAATCGCTGTCAGAGAGAATGAGCTGCTGTGTATGAAGATTAGAGACATCTTCCCTCCTTGGCCCCTGACACTGGTGGTGGTGGAAAGAATGCTGAAGACTGAATGGATATTGAAGAAGTCTTGAGCTGAAGGCAGAGGAGGGGTGGAGGAAGGTTGAAACTCGGCCAAGGAGTGGAAGCACATGCACAGCTGGACCTCATCAAGGGAGCGATGCTTGATGACTGGAGGAGCAGACGTCACTGATAGGTTGGAATCGAGGCACATGAGGAGATGTTTAGCTGAGCAGGAAAGATAAATAGTCTTCCAGTTTGATTTTCCCCCAAAGCTTCAATAAAAGGTATAATTAAACACAAAATTAAAGAAACGTGACAAAAGTTATGGGGAGAAGAAAGGAAACATAATTTCAACCTAATCCTACATACATTTCAACTGAATTTACCTAGAAAACAAGTAAAGAAACCCAACAGACTGCAGCAAGTCGTGGACTTGAAGATTTACTGCTCCTGGAAGTAAATGTTCCAGGACATTTACTTGTCCTGGAACATGTCCTGTTAAAGGGGACATTTACTTCCCCTTTAACAGGAGGAAAAATCCTCCAGCAGAACCAGAACCTGGCTCTGTCCGAGTGGCCATCTACTGCGACTGACTGGGGGTTTAAGAAGACCGAGCAGAAACACAAAAAGAAATAAAAATACAGGTGTAGCAATACTTTCTATATCAAAATGGGTACCAAATTTTCTCTAAATTGGCTATCTGTTTTAGGTGCTTGATTTGATGTAAGTGTGTTTTTCAAGGAGGTGTGAAAGCAAAACAAATTTTTTGCAACTCACTGGTCATGATTTCATTTCATAGAACCAGGGGAAGGTACTTTTTTATGCCCAAAAAATGTAAAAGATTTAAATGATCCTTATTCAAGTTCTATAAATGATTTTCCATAGTATTTTTTTTTTTGACGTGAGGGCAATTTCTTCTGATAAGGGCCATTTACCTAATTGAAATTTTTTCCTATAATAAATATCTTATTGCAGCAAAACGAATAAAATGTTATCTTTGTCCACTAATCATTTACATACAGTAATGATTATCACTGCCTGATGTTTTTGATGAGTGCTGATTGCTATTTTCATGGTAGTTGTTGACACAATGATGTCTGATGTAAGAAAGTTAATTTTATGTGCCAACTGTGGCTCTCTAACTATGTTATGTCTGCTAATCAGGCATATTTTAAGTGACATGAGACATTGTTAGGAGCACACAGCTGCAGACAAACAGTTCAGGCACAATTTCTTCCATAATCTGCTTTAGCTCCCAGTAGGCAAACATATTTGTATACTTTGGGGAATACTAAAATATGAAAACATAAGTCCACTCCCTAATGCACGGTAGACTGTCTGAAAACTGATAAATGTCTGACTGGATAAGGTTTAATCTTCATTTCTATAGACTGAAGTCGTTGTAAAATACTGCTCATGTCCTTGAGGTCAGGTTTAACTTGGAGATAAAGAAAAGTAAAGTAAAAATAAAAGTAAGAAAATCCCCCAGGCCTTAGGTTTGGAGTAATCCAGTTAAGATGTCAATAATGTAAATATAACTATAAAAACTGTCGCTTTAAAAATAATTCACAGGCAGAGTTATCAGTAAGGACGAGAGAGAGCGGTATGAGCTGTTCCTCCTTCGGCAGTCAGCTGTAGTTTCACTTCGCACCCCTATGCCATGTGGGTTGCAGTAAAATTGTCAAGCCTTGACCAGTCCGTAGCGGTAAAAAGGTTGGGGACCATTCCGTTAGTGGACCGGGGTTTGAGCCAGTGGAGGAGCTTTTGGACTCGCCTTGTGACTAGCACAGCACATTGGTTTGTTTTTAGTTTGTTTTATTTTTTGCGGCGATACAATGCATATCAGTTGCTTTGACTTCTTGAAGTCAGGTAACAACTCATCCCATAAAGTCCTTGCAACTAAAACATGAGTTTTGGCACTAAAGTTTTTGTCATAAACACAAATTCAAGGGGTTTTCATATATTTTATCTGACAAACACAAAGGAGCATACGGTTGTGAAGTAGAAGAAACAAAAATCTATCCATTTATGCAACCACTGTGTTTACCCAATTAGCCTTAAGCATTATCTCATTCTAGACAGATTGTCCATACGGATGTTTCCGGGCCGGCTACAGCCGTCAGAAAGTATGTCATCCACTTCCTGTGTAAACATTTCCGCTTGTATTGTTGTGGTTGTTTAAAAAAGTTGGCTGTATTCCCAGGTGATGAAATAAAAAAGGAAAGGTTTCTGGGGAAAGGTTTTCCAACATGTTTGTCCAAATTTTACAGGGGATTAAAGTGAAGAACCTGTTTGGATGTGTAGCTTGCATGATGCTGCATGTTTGGTCCATGGCAGTGAACATCAGTTTAACCACTGTGGTCACAAGCATGACCCCTCGTGTGCATTTAACTGTGTATTATGAGCTACGACTGAGAATGAAGCATTCTTTGTTTTCTCAGTTAAAATAAACTAAATCTGATATTCGATTTGTTGACATTTTATACTATTACACTAAATTTCCTCGTAATTATTGAACTACTTAATTAAATGATTTGGTGTTATTATTGGATCAAATTAGAATTGCATTCATTTCACCTCTAATGTTTAAAGGTTGTTATTTTCAAAGATGTTTTATTTATATAGCACTTTTTCAGCAACAAGGCAGTTTGAAAAGTCCTTTTAATCTGACAGATGAGCCTGTTTATTATTTTTGAATATGACTGTGTCGTAGATTTACCAGACCATAAATACAGACTATAGGAGAACCACAGTGCTGGTTCTGTTGGACCTCAGTGCAGCTTTTGACATTTTACTGAATCGACTGGAGAGTTGGGTTGGACTCTCTGGTTCGGTGCTCGACTGGTTTGAATCTTACTTAAAGAACAGGGATTTCTTTGTTTCAATTGGAAACTTCTCATCAAAGAGGTCAAAGGTCACAATCCTAGGACCCCTCTTATTCAATATTTATATTATCCCACTAGCTCAGGTGATAACAGGAAATATTAATAGCTACCATAACTATGCAGATGACACACAGCTCTACATTACGATGTCACCAGGTGACCTTTGACCCCATCCAATCACTGAATAAATGTTTAGAACAGATAAATGTGTGGATGTGTCAAAACTTTCTCCAGCTGAACAGAAACAAAACTGAAGTCATTATTTTTGGACCTAAAGAGGAACGATCTAGAGCTATAGATCTACAGTTATAGATCTAGAGCTATAGATCTACAGTTATAGATCTAGAGCTATAGATCTAGAGCTATAGATCTAGAGCTACAGATCTAGAGTCAATGCACAGCTTCAGTTATTACAACTAAAAACTAGCGATCAGCCCGAAACCTGGGAGTCGTGATGGACTCAGACCTGAACCTTGCAAGTCACATAAAGACGATTACAAAGTCGGCCTTCTATCACCTGAAGAACATCTCCAGGATTAGAGGACTAATGTCTCAGCCAGATCTAGAGAAACTCATCATGTATTTATCTTTAGTCTCATTGATTATTGTAACAGCGTCTTCACAGGCCTGTCCAACAAATCAATCCTCCAGCTGCAGCTGATCCAGAAGCTGCTGCTCCTGTTCTCACTAAAACCAGGAAGATAGAGACATAACAGCAGTTTTAAAGTCCCTCCACTGGCTCCCTGTAGCTCAAAGAATAGATTTTAAAATACTGTTGTTAGTTTATAAATCACTGAACGGTTTAGCACCACAATACATTAAAGATCTGCTGTTGTTGTATCAACCTTCCCGACCTCGCAGGTGTTCTGGTTCTGGTTCTGGTCTGCTTTGATTAAATTAAATTCTCTTGGCTGTAATTACAATAGATACAAATTTAATTTATCCCAGGTGAGTCTTTCTCAGTTGAGAATGTGGATCAGTACTGGGTTGATTCTGTGCCTTCAAACAATTTTAATTGGAGAAATTTCACATAACTTAGAAGTTGATGTAAAATTTTTTGTTGTATAAATTCTCAGCAACAAACAACATTTCCAACTGCAGCTTAGAGTAGCTCATTGATATATTAATGCAGTAGCCATGTAGCTAGATCAAATTTTATTTTATCTAGCAAAAATCATTTTGCTTGATAATATCAAAACAGTTTTAATTATTGTTGTCAAACATTATGAAACATGATGTTTTGAAGCCAACCATGAGCATCAACTCATCTAAAGTTAAAAGTGAGCTTCACACAAATGCAAACATTTGCACCATCAAGCAAAGTTACAATTAGCAGCTCCAATAAATCTTTCCGTTTAACATTACATCACGAAGATACATTAAAACATACCTCCATCTTGACTTTTTCCTTTATTCTTCCTCTTTCATTTCTCTCTGAATGATATCTGATCAAATAATGAAACAATTTTTTATGACATTGTTTTGATAATTTTTCTCTATCGATGCCTTGGAGGCCACCAGGTGGGGCCACAGAGCAATTTATTTATTTCTTTATCTTTTTGCAAATAAAAGAAAGATTTCTACATACATTATGAAATGTATGTAGAAATGTATTTACAATGTATTATTGTAAAAAAGAAAATCACAACTTTAGGATGAATTTATGTGTTTTATATAATAACATCCATCCATCCATTTTCTGATCACCCTTCTCCCTAACGTGGTTGGGAGGAGCTGCTGCCTCTCCAGCTGCGTTCTGGGTGAGAGGCGGGGTCACCTGGACAGGTCGCCAGTCTGTCGCAGGGCAACACAAAGACAAACAGGACACACACACACACACACACACACACACACACACACACACACACACACACACACACACACACACACACACACACACACACACACACCTTGGTAGAATTTGGGAAGGCCAGTTAACCTGACAGTCATGTGTTTGGACTGTGGGAGGAAGCCAGAGAACCCGGAGAGAACCCACCATGCACAGGGAGAACATGCAAACTCCATGCAGAAAGAGCCCGGGCCGGGAATCGAACCCAGGACCTTCTTGCTGCAAGGCAACAGTGTTACCAACTGCACCACTGTGCAGCCAATATAATATAAAAATAAAAAAAAATTCTGTTCCACTTAGGGGGGCCCCATTGTGTCCCGGGGCCCTAAGCAGCCACTTAGTTTGCTTATGCCTTGGGTCGGCCCTCAATGCACAGATCAATGGGTTACATCTTTTTGAGACAAAAACTGAGGAAACATTGGAGTGAGGTTTTCACATCCTTTTATTTTTATTTTCTTTATTTTGTGTGCTGTTAGATTACTGCACGAGAATAAATGTGCTTCACTTTCATTTCATTTAAACAATGAAAAGATTAAAATCATGAAAACATCACGTCTGATGTTGTTTTCAATATATTCAATTATTCTTGGTCTTAATAACTGAATGTAGTCAGATTTCAGTGTATTTAGGTGAGTTTTGATGCTTTATAGTTTGACAGTCACTGAAAAAATTTGCGTGGCTGCAGTGCTTTTTCACAGTAGGGAAAAACTGCGTATTAATATACAAAGAGTGATGCAAAGTTTATTTTTATACATGCCGTCAAAACCTCTGCTGAGATGGTCAGGTGTTGCACTGACTCCGTGACCTGTGACCCACCTGCCCTGCCTGATGCTCCATGCACATGGCTTCCTCTTCTTACTGCCTGTCACTTTTTGTGTGATTTCCTCATTGCAGCCCATGGATTTCATGTCAGAACTCTTTGGAGGAAGGGCTGCATGACACAGCAGAGAGTGAGTGGGCGGGGCTTGTTAAAATTTTCAGGCCAATTACAGCAGGTTTAATGTATGTATATATATATATATATATATATATATATATATATATATATATATATATATATATATATATATATATATATATATATATATATATATACTATATATACACAGTACAGACCAAAAGTTTGGACAAACTTTTCATTCAATGAGTTTCCTTTATTTTCATGACTATTGACATTGTAGATTCACATTGAAGGCATCAAACTATGAATTAACACGTGTGGAAATATGTACTAAACAATAAAGTGTAAAACAACTGAATATATGCTTTATATTGTAGTTTCTTCAAAGTAGCAACCTTTTGCTTTGATCACTGCTTTGCAAACACTCTGCATTCTCTTGATGAGCTTCAAGAGGTCGTCACCTGAAATGGTTTTCACTTCACAGGTGTGACCTGTCAGGTTAATAAGTGGGCTTTCTTGCTTTATAAATAGTCATAAAAATAAAGGAAACCCATTGAATGAGAAGTCTGTGTCCAAACTTTTGGTCTGTACTGTATATAGATATGCCTTTTTGCAAACTTCAGTGTATTTGATTTGAGTTTTATGTGAGTAACACATATAATGCATAGTTCCAAACTGCTCAGTTGAACTACAATAATATATACAGTTAAAGATTGGCTGGGTGTTTAGAGGTCATCTAATTAGTAAACTCAGAACCAAGAAATTAAAGCCATTTCTCTTCTTATAACGTATGGAGGATAAAAACACAACAAAGACAACAAAATTCAATCTTTAATCCACCCATTTTATCACAGTTTATTAATGAAAAGGAATAAAAATTATTCCAATGTGGGTGTTATTAGTTCCAAATATCAGCAACTCTTTCTCCTTACATTTTTCTCTTTCTCCTGTGCTTTTTTCCCCCCAGTATGTGGTTGTGAACTTGCCCAAGGAGGCTTTTTTGTGCGCCAAGGTGAATACATCTGTACTCTGGACTACCAGAGGATGTACGGGACTCGCTGCTTCAGCTGCCAGGACTTCATTGAGGGGGAGGTGGTGTCAGCTCTGGGGAAGACCTATCATCCCCGTTGCTTTGTCTGCACCTCATGCAAGTAAGAGCAAAAGTTGGGAAGTAGAATGTCAATTAAAGAAATTCTAAAGTGAAAACAATTTGGAGCAAGACTACCCTTCTAATCTCAAGCCTACAGCTTCCTGAACCATTCAGGGCATGTTTTTCATGTTGCACTTTGCCTTTGCTGAATCTGATGTGAATATTCCAATGTGGCATTCAAGGTTCATAATGTGATCATATAACCTGAGTGCATTCATTTTTAAACAAGTTTCCCTTTTTTGGAGGGAAAACACTTGTGCTTATTGTGAGGAACATGAATAGAAGTCAGAGTTTGAAAGGAAGCGATAGGCTTCACTTTCTGTCTGCGCTGATGGGAACGCTCTACTGATCATCAATAATTCAGTTGTTTATTCTCATTGTTCAGTTTCCTTGATTTCATAATGATTTTATTTTCTAGTATATGGGTAACTAAATGACATAGCGGTTTATATATGGGCTGATCAAACCAATTAAGATGCAATAGACGTAACTAAACAGGATACAATTATAAATAACACAAAAACAAATAGCATTACAGCTAAGTTTAGCTAAACTAAAGACCCAAGAATAAAAATCAAAAACTTTATATACTAATATTTACTTCAATACAAAACTTAAAGAAAGAAACAACAAATTCCCCCTGCTAGCAGGAACCGGTGGTGCAGTCCAATCAGCACTTAAGCCTGCTGAGCCTTGGGCCCCATCTTTTGTCTGGCAACTCCAAGGCAGGTAAGCATCAGCAGGAAAACAAATTTTAAGCAAAGAAAATTAACTTTAAGTTGATATAAATACATATGTTAACTAAATGTGCTTGCTAACAAATAGAACAAATGTGTCCAAATCAACTAATAAATGTTTTTTTATTGAAACTAAAGTGTTGGGTTTGTATAAAACAATTAATTGTGGATAAAAAGAGTTACTGACATAGGAGAGTAGCCATGGATTTGCTCATCACAAGCAGAAAGGTGACCTTCAACATTCCCGCTGCCTCCCATGAAGGTGGAATATGGAAAAAACAGATTTGTACTTTCAAGAAGTTGTCGAACTCTGTTTAGAAGCAACAAACATTACATAACGATGGTCTTCACACACTATTTTGTGTAGTGGAAGCAATCATAAATGATCGTCCTTTGAGTGCTGCGTCAGATTATCCAAATGACAAGGAGGTTTTGATCCCAAACAGAACAGGAACATTTAGTTTTTATTAGTACTTAGAAATTATGGAGTACTCATTACAAATTACAAATTTAGAAAGTCCAGTGAATACTTATACTTATCTAGCATCCCAGAAGTCCAGAGGATACTTACTTACATTTATTGAGCAACCCTGAACAGGGATTAGAACTTGGAACCCAGAAAAACTACATTAGCAACTACTTTTCAGACTCCTATTCTTCCAAACCAGAAAAGGAATTAGACCAGAGGATAATTACTTATACTTACTTAGCAACCCTGAATAGGAGTATGTAGTTTATTGACTCTGGATCAACATTACGAGCTTTTGATTCTTTTGTTCTTTCCTTTGGTTTGTTATTTTGTTTGTATTTCCATTTAATTCCCGTAAAGCACTTTGTATTCCCTTGTTGCTGATAATGTGCTACATAAATGAAGTTACCTTAATCTTTACCTTTGAGGTGTAAGTGGTATGCATCCTCCCTATACAATTAGAGGCCAGAATGTTAGAATCTTAAATAAGAAATATTTAAATTATTTGTACCATGCTTTGGTTTTTAATTTAGTCATATTTAGTAAATAAGGCTAATATTTGTTCAGGTTGGTTATACTTTTATTAATATGTCAGAAAAACACTGACGGCAGAAAAATTGCATAGACAAGGAGCAATCCAATTTTTGACTGTGTATGCTGTATATTTTCTGGGACAAAAGAAAAAGGAATTGTATAACTGATTTTGTGTTGTCATTTTTGTATTTGCATTTTTATAGATAAAGAATTTTTTGTTAAATTCACAGTTTTGCACGCATCCTTTACTTTTGTACAGTGTCTATGGAATGAGACAGATATTGCACCTGTTGCCATAACAGTATTCATGTACATATTGATGCAGACTAGTTCAAGCAAAATATCAACATTGCCACTTGAGCACATTTCTGGATAAAAACAACAATTGAAAAAATCTGTGGAAAATAGTTTGACTCAAGCCTGGTTGCTGAAAGGAAAGGATTCCTCCCTGAAAGCAAACTGACACAATTTCCTCCATGTGACTACCGGTACGTAACTCAGAGCCAATTTCAACACTTTGGAGGAAGTGTGGTAGAGTCTTAAGGCATGAATGTGCTTTGAGCTAAACTAGCGGTCTCAAGCTGCAGTCCTTGATGACCAGAGTCCTGCAACTTTTAGATGTGTCCCTTGTCCTACACTCTTGAATTTAATGGTGAAACTTCCTCACTAGCTTGCAGTCCAGCTCTACATAGCTCTGCTGTACTGGAGCCAGGTGTACTGATGCAGAGACATGTAAAAGTTGCTGGACACTGGCCTTGAGGACCAGAGTCCTGCTACAGTGGAATCTATACCCTCCCACTGTCGCTCTGGTGGGATGTTCAAGGCAGTTTTTATGCTGGAAGGTGAATCTCCATCTTAGTCTCAGCCTCTGTAGTGTTTTGCTTGTAAGCCATTAATGTCAGTTCTTTTTATTCTTGAAGCAGAACATCTTCTTCCTCGTGTTTGTTGCATTCCCTACATGCTATACGGATCTCTTTTAGCTTTCTTCTTCTTCCCTCTCTTCCATAAAGAGCAAACTTGCAGGGTGTATGAGTTGATGGTCAGATTCTTTCATCAGAAGGGTGGACCTCTGCAACTCTGAAGGGACGATGGGTCTCTTTCTGGGGCTATCTGGGTGAAGGAGGCTTAATACAAATGTTTACTCCACACAGGACACCATGCTTTTCAGATTGTTTAGGACTTCATATTTGTATTTTGCACAAAACTCCTTGAAAAGCCTTGAAAATCCAATAAGGAACAATATTGAATGTTCATGCATTCAATAATGTTTGAACAATATTGATTGGACACTTTATGTAAGGAAGATCCCAAAATCTCATTAAAACCTCTCTTCTGCTTCTAAATGATAAACTCATAATCAGTCTCCCTCTGCCCGCCTGGAGGTATTTCTCATCACCTGATGGTGTCACATTTCTGAGCTCAGGAAAGCAGCACAAGGCAGCCAGTTGGAGCCTTGCTTTACCAAGTGATCATCATCCTATCTGTGCTCTGTGGCAGTAACTTTGTGAAAAGAAAATTCATAACCAGCTACTATCAGTAACATCAAATTATTTTCATTGCACTTGGAATGTGTCTCCAGCTGCATGATGCATTTTGTCTCTGAAGAGACCATTTTTTCCTGGTGAATGAAGGTAACTTTTAATTGATTCCAGTTCAAAGTTACTTCCTCCAAAATGATTGCGGCTCCACTAAGTAGTTCAAACCTAGGCGACTCCTTCAGACATGCCTTTCAGCTATTATAGCTGTTCAACCCTCACAGGTTTGGGAAGGAGCTTCTTCTCTCAAATTATGAATCAGTGTCTTTCACATCTTCCCATTCACTGACACTGAAGGAGACAGAGAGTCGTCCACCAATCCTCCTACAAAAACACCAATCCCTTGATGCTCATGAACATTCTGCTACACTATGGCTGAATGGATGAATAGCTGGACGTGTGCATAGATTGAAATATACTGTAAAAATATGAAAAGTGCCTATTTTCTTTCCAGCACCAGAACGAAACAATGAGAAGATTTTAAAGAAGTAAACCAAATCTTTTTGTATGGTTGGTGACAGTTGGACCTTTTTATAATCATACATTCAATGTGTCATCATATTTCCATGTAGACCTCTCATTAGCAGCTGATAGATGTCAGTGAGGGTTCAGGGTTTGTTCAGCTAACTTCAAACTTAACTCTTGTCACATGGCACAGCCTCAGTGAAATCTTACATCTGATATTACATGTCTTGCTTGTTTTCAGACAGGCATTCCCAGCTGGTGATCGGGTGACATTTAATGGAAAAGAGTGTATCTGCCAGAAGTGTACCCAGCCTCTGCCTGCCAACAGCCCAGCACCCATCCAGGCTGTTCACAGTTAGTACTGATTCCAGTTCCTGTCCCAAACCTGAACTCTGTGTTCCATCCCCATGAACTTGAATTTTCCCATAATGTCCGATGTCACTTTTACTCCATGATGAAGCTAACTTCCTCTAGCTTCATCTACATGTGCTCTGTGCAGACTGCTGTGGTTGTGGGAGGGAGTTCAAGAATGAACAGTCTCTTGTTGCTCTGGACAAGCACTGGCACCTGGGCTGCTTCAAGTGTAAAGTGTGCAACAAGGTGCTCAATGCTGAGTACATAAGCAAGTAAGTTACTCTGGCTATCAACAGAGGTCCAGTGATCCTCTTTTTAATTGACTCTTTTTAATTGACTTACACATGTTTGTGTGCTCAACCAAAAGTTGGTGTCAAGATTCTCTGGAGCTGGAAAGTTTTGGGAACCACTGCAGATTTCCAGAAATAAAATAAATCAAGGTTTTCTGGCATCTCCACGTCAAACATATCCCATGACAGTCAGACTGTAAACTAAATACAATGCAACATCTCAAGTTTGCTGTAATATGTTCCTTCTAACTGCTATTTGCTGAGCTTGACTAGGAAAGACTTAGCTCCTTCACCAGATTGACAAAATTGCTTCAAAAAGGGTTCATACAGATGTTTGGTGGCAAACAACTCCTTTGTGTTCATGAAAAACACAAAGGAGTTTTGTGTTTGCTATAGAACCACACACACACACACACACACATTATTTGACTTCATCTTTACCAGGACTTTGTTACCAGCCTAACCCTAACCCAAAAACAACACTTCTCCTGTGGATCAGGCTGTAATCCTCACATGGATCAGTGTGTCCCCAAAACGTATTTCGTGTTTGGAAAATGGTCCTTACAATGTGTCAAGTACACGGCAACACACGCAAACACACTCTCTCACAAATCCAATAATCTGTATGCTTAAAGCTTGTACATATACAGGTTATTTCATGAAGTTTACTTTGATGCCAGATCCAGTCTTGATTCAATCAAGTAATCTCTATCCATCTCCACCTTTTTTGAAATGTTGCCTTGTTACATGTAGGGAACTATTTCTGTATGTGGTATTCCTGAAATGCCAAGATAGGACACTTGGCAACGTGTGAAGACAAAGTGTCCTGGTTGGATATGTTAAACTTGAGATTATCTGTGTGATGTCTATTGCTCTGTGCTGTCTCTAGATCATTTCTGATGTGTTGTCCAAACAGAGATGGGATCCCCTACTGTGAGATGGATTACCATGCTATGTTTGGCATCCAGTGTGAGAGCTGTAAGAAGTACATCACTGGCAAAGTCCTGGAGGTATGCTGTTTTCGTATATGGGGGAAATTTTGTGCAAGGTGTGTCCCACTCCTTTTTATGGAGTGTCAAAGTTATATGATTAAAAAAAATGAGTGACTTGTTATATATTTATGTATAATGAGTCACTGGTTAAATGCATATATTTATGTATGCATATCATAAATATATAACGTGAATAAATAAGCACATAAATAAATATATTATAGTGGATAAACAAATAAAGGTATTTATACACGAGAAAGAACATGTTCAGAAGAAACTTATGACAGAAATGTCATTATTTTTAATACATTCATTAATTACAATTGAATTCATTACATCTCTTAAAGGCATGTATCAATATTTCAGTAATCATAAAATAGAATTTATTTGTTTAGTTTGTTCTATAAAAGGGCAGACTGATATAAATATATAAATCATTAAATGGATCATAAAATAACTCAAAATAGTGATGAGTACTATAAATCTATTATTTAATTATTGAAAAAATATTTACTATATGGATAACAATTATTTAGCCATTCATTTAATTTTACTATAGTTCCATACCATGCTTTGGATGCATCAAAAATGAAATAATATCTATATTTTTACCTGGAGATTGGTATACCTAAAGATTGGTGTGGACACGTCCCCACCAACAGTGCGCCACATGGGCTACTGCTTCGCATTGAGTCAGGAATATCGGTGGTCAGGACATGAACAAACAAAGAATCGGAAAAGGGAATGCAATGTTTTATTATTAGCTGTCAACGTTACAACAGGAGGATAACAAGAGTCAAGCAAATCACATTTTGTATGTCAGTTAAAAGTTTGAATTACAACAAATAATCATAAAAAGTGGGGAGCAGGTTAACTGCTTGGGGACGGTGGACATGTAGTCATGTCCACAAAAGCACATACAGAATGAGCAGTAATCTGTCACAAAGATAATTATTTAGCTGAACTTTGACAAACTTAACAAACACAAGCTGCATAGTTCAGTCTGTTTCAGTTCAGTTGGCACAAAAATAAGGCGATCCACACATCTACTTTATGACAGATTATCAGTAGCTAATCAACGGTCATAAGTGTTCAGGCAATTACTTTTTTATTGATCGCAAAATAAACATCAAGCCTGAAAATTCAAAAAACAGAAACCTGTAGCAGACTTATTGTTCTGTTTTGGTATATTTACATATTTCTGTGTTTTTTGACTGTAATTTTTGCCTTTTCTACTCCTGGAGCTGTTGCATGTTGGTTGCCATGGGAATGGTTCTGCACGTCATATTAAGTAAAAAAAAGAATTGGTTTCAAGTTGTTCTGGGTTTCTCCGTCCCTGGAAGCAATTATAAAATAGCATGAAATATTATACTAAGCATAAGAGTCAAAGTTTGTTCACCTTTTCTCCTAGTGCAGCAATTAGGAAAAATGTAATTATCGGCCATTATAAAAGAAAAATGTATTTAACCCTCTACTGCATGTTGACAGAACTGACAGAATCTGTCTGTCTTTATCCAGAGAGAATACATATCCAAACATCGGCACTTTTCACATATTTAACTTAAGACACATATTTAGATCAGCAATATGGGGGCTATTACTATTCTTTGTGACAGATTACTGCTCATTCTGTATGTGCTTTTGTGGACATGACTACATACAATGGTGTCCACCGTCCCCAAGTGCCTGTCACTCGCCATGGCGGCCAATAGGCGATGTCCAATCCATATTGACGGTCCCTCTACATCCCAAACAAACATGATGGAAATCATGACGAGCTGAGACACAGATGTTTTCTGATGTAGACCGTCACCCCAACACTGGATTTTGCAACTGTTTTCAAATGTAGGCAAACATTGAGTAAATATACACACTAATTCCATAAATCAGAGTATGAATGAAAAGTTGATTTTTTTTTAGTAATTCCATCACTAAATGACATATATTTTATAGATTTATTGGATGACTTATGTTTGAACATCTTTACCTTTCTTAGTATGCGTAATCTGTGCTAAAATGTTTCTATTTTCAAAAAGTATTATTGATATGATAAGAGTCATCAGGATGTAAACCCTGACTTATTAAACAAGACTGTACTCACATTTAAGTTTTGGCCTTATTCTTAACTCCCCCACTCACTCTTCCTTACAATGCGTCCGCACTAATTTGCAACACAAAGTTACACCCTTGGATTCACCTCACTTTACTTAAACATGTTTTGTTCATATGGATTGAATGTTGGAAAGGATGCTCCACACTGTAGCTCCACTCTGCTTCATTAGTTTAAGTGAGTCTCTTCCCTCTGGAGATTCGTACAGGTGTAGTGAGCATTGTGCTAGGAAATAATAAAGAGATGGACTCAGATATGCCTGCCTCTTATCTCAGGCCACACAGAAAAAAAATTACTCTTTGGATGAACATAAAAAAATTATGGAAAGGATTTCCACCTGATGACTTTGCTTTTCTGTTACTCCAATTTAAAGCAATTGTGTTGGCTCAACTTAACTTTTAAGGTTGATTCAATTCATTTACTATAGTTGGACCAATGTAATTTAATAGAACAAGCCCAAGTACTTTGCAATGTTTTGTACCAAATAATTGACTTTACTTGATTAAGATGAATACAAATTTAGTTGAAACCACCTTATTTTTCAGTGTTACCTTCACACTACTTCATTAAGTTGATTCAACTCATGAAAATTAAATTAGCTAAACAAACATGCTTCATGCTGAAAGAAATCCTTTCCATGATTGAATGATGTTATTTCAAAGACATTTTTTAAGTGCTATTAACTTAAGTGTTTTAAGGCAGCACTGGGTGAAAGGGTAGAAAGAACACTCAACAATTAGAGAAGGTAGAACACAATTGTATTTTCATAATTGTTATCCATTTTCTTTTCCATATGCAGTGCAGGCACTTTACTACCAAAAGTATAAACTCTTGCCATATGCCAACCCATCTGAACATGCATTTAAGCTAGTTGAAATTAATAGTTTAAACAAAGCCTTTGAAGTCAGTGTTTAATTAGTAACAGGAAACTTCAAAATACTTCAGCCGACCACACACTGTAAAAAAGTAACTTACTGGCAGCAGGGTTTCCAGCCAGTTACTGTAATTTTTGCAGTAAAGAAATTACTGTAACTTTACAGTAACCTTATGGTAATTTTTGGACGGTATCCTTACTGTAATTCTATTACAGTTTTACTGTGATTTTATTGCACTTTTTCCTGTAATTGTCATTACTATATTACTGTAATTTGATTAGTTTAACTGTAATTTCTTTTAAATAGCACAATAATTATATAACATGGTTACTGTAATTACATCACATTTTTATTATTATAAAATTACAGTAGTCCTGTAGTAGAATTACAAAATGTTGTCATTTTACAGGAGTTCATAAAATTGTGAACTTGCAACTTAATTTAACAAACTCTCAAAAAAAAAAAAAAATTCTAATTCAAAAAATATACATCTACTATGTACTGTATTTTCCAGACTACAAGTCCCACCAGCCATACAATGCATAATAAGGAATAAAAATACATATATAAGTTTCATTTTTGGGGTAAATTTATTTGATAAAATCCAGCACCAGGAACAGACATGTCGTCTTGAAAGGCAATTTAAAATAAAAATAGAATAGAGGCAACAACAGGCTGAATAATTGTACAGTATGCTGACGTTATATGACAAACAACGAACTGAGAACGTGCCTGGTACGTTAACATATTAAGATATGTTATTGATGCTATAGTTATTGATGCTATAGTTATAGCATCAATAACATGCTAACAAGTTTACCAAGCAATCCGTGTCACTCCAAATCAATAAATCTTCGCTGTCGCTTGTAAACAACTCCGTAACTCCAGAGGTAGAAGAACACAGGCCTAGAGCGCCCTCTTGCGGTTTAGTGTGAAAACAACATGTGTTATATATAATAATGTGTTCATAATTTCAGACATAAACTGCTCCAGAGTATAAGTTGTACCCTCAGCCAAACTATGACAAAAACTGCGACTTATAGTCCGGAAAATACAGTATATTTTAAAATCACTGATTTATTGTCAATTTAAATATGATAAAACAAAATACAGTATTTTGCAACAGCGATATTTGCTTGTTACAGAAGTCAGAGTATTGCAACCAAGGGGAAAATACTCTGATCTCAAAATAAAACTGATACATTTATAATCATGGTAACATGACATTGAATACAATGGATTAAATAATCTTTAATAAAACAAAAGTACCCAAATATCAAAGTTTCCAAACTGCATTTATGTCAGTTAAAGACAGAAAGGGTGAAAAGGACGGATTTAGTGACAGACACGCTGACCTTCCTTCATTGTAGCTGTCCTCCTGTCTGTCTGATAGAAATGGACAGGACAGACAGAGACAGGCGGAGAAAAGACAGACAGGGAGAGAGATGGAGTAAAAGAACCGATTGTGTGTAAATGTGTAATTTTACCATTTTAAAAGTTCCACTGGTCCATGAAGGAGGAGAATGGAGGCCTGCGGTTTCACTGCTGAGTTTTGCATCAGTCGTCCTGTTGGTTTTGATGTCACTTTTCCATTTGCAGCCTTTGCTCTTCTTTCTGGATTGAGGCTTATGAATCACCTAGAAATTGTGGCCTTGATACTGTTTCCTGAAAAATAACAATGTTCAGTGATATTAGTTTTAGTTTGAACTTAATACTCAGGCACACAGACATTTTCATAGAAAGATTCATTCCTCTGTCTCTATCCATATACAAAGTTTGCAGACAGTATCTGTAGGCCTAAGGATGGCAGATCCAGTGAGATGGCAATATCTCATTAGTCTATGGACAGAAGGATGAAAGTTACAATGAGACACAGACAATTGGAGAATATAGAAATCTGCAATATTCTAGGTAAACTAACTAAAAAGCCCTTGTGTTGCACATAATGCTAACTGAGAGATAACCGAAGTTAGCTTACCAAAGAAGCAAGAGTAGCTCAATATAATCACATATATTTTCGAACACAAACAAAACTCTGCAATGCAGTGATTGTTTTAAAAAGTACTTACCCGGTGGAAGTCATTGTTGACCCGCCCTCTAGCCTGTGAAAGCTCCTCCGACTGTAAATATCCCACAATGCAACATTGAAAATGGACATTAAAAATTGACAGTACAGCTGAAAATTTCCGTACATGATTCAACGGTCCAACCACGTCCCATATATTTCCAGACGCATTTCAGATCACAGTAAAGAGCTGAATTTTCATGCTGTGGCTTTTACAGCCATTTGTTACAGTGCAGCTCTTAAACGATTCTCAAATGACCTCGTGTGATTTCCCATGATCTCGCTCGTTGTCTTCAGCACAATATCAGTCTGACTATAATGAATCACATCATCTCAACATGATTACATTAATGTAACAACCCCAATGTTCATTTGTTTGAGTGCATACTGAGTAACATCATGCCACATTTGCTTTTAGTTTCACATTTCTACTTTTACTTGAAAGATCAGCCCTTCAGGACTGCTTGGATTTCAAAGGAAGGATTTGATAATGGTAGTATCTACTTTCCTGTCCTCTCATATGTTCCATGGTTAAAACTGAATCCTTTTCCATCCATCGCAGTGTTCCAAAGTTAACATCCCCTCTTCTTACGCCCTGTCCATCATTCAGTCTTAATCTAGTTCAAATATGAACTCTTTGCATGGCCTCCTGTACCTTCTGAGGATTTTCAAGTACCAAGCCTTTTGACCCAATTCCACTTTGACCTACAGTCTCTTTGCTCAATTAATTTCAGCACATATCTGTCCCCAAGTCCCTTCACTGTCCATCTGCTATCCATTTGCACTGAACAGTATGCTACCCAGGAAACAGGGCATTGGCATTCCTGATTTCCAACTTGTTTTTTCCAACTCAGATGACGCAGCAAAGCAGAGTAACTCCTGATAGATTTATTGAGTTCACTGCAAGGGTTGTCTATATGGAGTTGTTGAAATTATGGGTGAGATCAGAGAGCAAGAAAATTTGTCAAGAATGACATAAATTTACTTAGTTTTATGATGCACTGATTTATTATGAAGTGTTTCTTTTTGCAACAGAAAACATTACAAAAGAAAGTGTAGTGTACTGCTAGTATTTGTAAAGTTTTGGGACAAAACGGTTTATACTTTTACCTCCAGAACACCTAACAGTCAGAGAACATACGCACACATACGGAACATAACATAACATAACATAACATAGAACCCAGTGGAGCACTTAGATATCTCCAAGTCTGAATATAACTGACAAATCCATCATATCCAAAGCAATTCTCCTCAGACCCATGATACAATATTTCCTATTAGCTTGTAGATGTGAAGCCAGCACATGACAACCCTGAGCTAAACATATGAGTCATGAGAAAGGCTGTTGAGATGATCTACTAAGGACCTTGCTGGAAAGTTTGAACATTTAGTAGAAGTCATGCAGCCAAAGAAAGTTTTTACTTTCTTGCTTCTGCTATCATAACACTGGTACATTGCTGTCTTTGTTGTACAATAGCTCCACCTTGTGACTGATAAAACACATTGAACAAATCTCTAGTTTTGATTCTATGAGTTTACTTTGGTTACTGAAATAAATCTATTTTAAATAGCACAGTGCACCTCAACTTGGCAGTCAAAGATAATGCCTTGATATCTATATATATATATTGGAATTTAGAAAATAAGAATGCTGTACAAGTTATAATTGGTGCAGCAGGATATTCAGAGAAAGCATGAATGGAATGCTACTGTATCCGTCTAAAGTCATTTTTTTGATCAACAGGCGGGAGAGAAGCATTACCACCCCACATGTGCCCGATGCGCTCGCTGTGAGCAGATGTTTGGAGAAGGAGAAGAAATGTATCTGCAAGGTGAGAGGCGGCTGGACTCATATTTTTGAATCTGTTTTTATCATTTTATTTTCCTCTTCTTCCCACAAACAGTAAAACACAGTGGTGAGTGATTTCAAGGAATCTGCCATAGCAGAGACTATTCTTCTGGGGGTCCACACCACCAATATAACACACACACAATAAAAAAACCTCAGAACAATATGGACAAAGGGAGTCATCTTCTCTGAGTCCTGTCCAGTCTAACCCAGCTATTTATATTAATCTAGAGCACTCAGTCATTGCTGATTTTCCATATATTCCTGTCCTCTTAAACTGGCACTTAGAAAACTATTTGTCGCTTTCTAAAGCATCTGGGTCCCCCTTCTGGATTCAAATGTTTCTATGTCTACAGGAGGTAGAAAAATTGAATTGTTGATGCCCTTTGGACTAATTCTGTCTGGGCTGCCACTATGTGGATAATGATTCTCAATGTGGTTCTCTGGAGTCCCAAAGCCTTAGAGATGGTTACACAGCCCTTCCTGACTGATGGGTGTTAGGGATTTACTTTCTCATTTGTTCTTCGATTTCTTTGTCATGGCATAATGTGTTGATCTTTGAGATCATTATACCAACATCACCACGTTCAGATAAGTTCCACTTTATTTAAAAAGTCATTAACTAAAGACTAAAAAGTCTTTAGTTAATGACTTTTTGACACTAACTAAAGTGTCAAAAGGTCCTTCACTCTGCCTGGAGGATCCAACCAAAGATTCCTCTTTTGCTCTCACCTTTTATTGGGTTTATCCAGCCTTTTGGTGCATTTGCATTGGCTAACACTGTTGCTGTGCTTGTTTCATTGGTTGACTGATTGGACAGATGGTCTCATATCCATCACTGTCTTAGAGACATTTTGTCCTCATGTCTGTGCTAATGTCTCAGGGTTGCTCAACATTCCTCTCTTGGCTTTTCCTTGAAACGTTTAAGTTGTTCAACCATCTATCTCCAAATAACGCATTGATCTCTCTGCTCTCCTGTTAGTTCCCCTTTTACCCTTGACCTTTCACCTTTCACCTACTATCTGCCTCCAACACATCATCAGATCTTTAATAGCAGTTACACGTTTTACACCATTTCAAGTTCAATGTCAAAATCACATTCATAACCCTTTTAGTTTCTTTGATTTAGCATTCATTTATAATTCTCAGCTGCTGTTTGAATCAGAATCAAATCAGCATCAAACTCTGAAAACTACTCTGAAAACATTTTAGACTAAATGAAATGTGTAACAGTTGCTGGGTTTGTCTGCTTGTGTCTTCAGGATCATCTATCTGGCATCCCCCATGCAGACAAGCTGCCAAGCAGGAGGAGAAAAGCAAGGTGGGTTGAAGACACTTGCAGCTGAGAGAGATGGCGCATAAACAGTCAGAAAAAAAACATTTTTAGTTGTAGAATCTACAATTAAAAATTGTTGTAGAAAGCAAAACTAGGCTGTTTATATGGCATGAAAATATCTGCTGAACATCTGTACGTGTTACCCTCATTGAGGCAACTGGAAATATCTGCTGTTTTCTTTCAAGGTATTATGTAGCATCTACCTGTATTTTATTTCATTAAATTTTAAACAATCAGTTGACAAGGAAAGATATCTCAAGGCACTTTACACCAAAAAATTACATACATTGAAATTTGACTGTGATATTGGCAGAATAGACATAAAAACATAGTTGCACAGTGCAGTAGCATTCTGAAGCCATTGTAGATATAAAGAAATTATACAAACTGGCAAAAAGTCTATTTAAGCTGTCGTTCATTTTATGGATTTATTACATTTATCTCAATCATTTTGGTTTAGTGATGACAACTTACTTTAATGTGTTCAGTTAGCTTCAAAAGTTACAAATCTTTAACTTAAAGGAACATTTCACTTTGACTTTACTTTAAACAATTTACTCATTGCAAACTGAGTCAGTTTATCCAACTCAATATATTATAATCATCTATCTCAATTAATTAAGAGTTTACAACTGAATTCATTATGTGTGTTTAAAATGCCAAATTTAAGTCAGTCTTACTCAAATCCTTTAGTTTACTTCAAATAAAGAAGGAAACTAATAAATAATCTCTTTTTTACCAGGGATTTTTGGCTCAGGTATTCTGTAAAATACACTGTTGAGTATTCTCTAAAAAGAGTATTTTTAGACTACACTTCTTAAAGTGCACTCTCAGAAGTGTATTTGAAACAATTAAGTTCACTTCTGTGTTCGTATCCTAACTCTGATGTTATGGCAGAAGCTTCAGCAGGAACAGATCCTGTACCTGCTGTGGTGATGGAAGGACAGAGCACAACCCCCGTGAGGAGACCGTAGTCCTCAACGTGGCCGTCGCTGGTTCAATTCCAGCCTCATGATCTTTGCTGATCATCAGGCAAATATGACACGTGAAAAGCAAACGATGAGCTAGCACCTGTGGGGCCCAGCACCCCTCAGTTTATGAGAAAAAACAAAAAAACAAAAATAAAAAGATTGAAGAGGAAAAAATAAAAATAAAAAAAATATATAAACTTAAATTTGAACTTAAATCTGTCATTTTAAATACACTTGGAGAATTCAGTTAAAAACACTTAAATTGAGTTGGGTGAACTTATTGAACTGAGTGAATGATAATATATCGAGTTGGATAAACTTAATGAACTGTGACAGATTTCTTTAGATTACTGCATGTCTCTCACAGTGGACATGCACACAAGATGAAAATTTCAGACCCCTTTATGATTTCTAAGTGGGAGCACTTGGAAAGTTGCAGGGTGTTCAAATATTTAATTTCCTCATAAGTAAAAGACATTAATAAAAAAAAAGCAAAAAAAAAAAAAAAGCAAACTTAAAACTATGACATCTTTTGACATTTGCAGCAAAAAGTAACAAATGTCCTCTAAGCTTGTAATAAATTTAGGAGACGTTCATCTAGATTTAAAGTGTAAGTTGAAGACTCGGGGTATTTTCTGATATAACACCTCTCGGGTGCAGACTTGCCATGGAATGGGATCCAGAATGCCTGAGACAGAGAAGAAGAAGCTGCAACAAGATTGTATCAAATCTGCTCCCAGGAGATGTCTGGGGAAAGAAAATGAGCACAGATCTACGTCTTGTAATTTGAAATGTATCCAGAAGCATTTCCCCTGCTTCTACCACCTCAATCTTAGAAGATATTTGGCATTTTTTGTTGCAAATTATTTTCAAAGGTCTGAGTTTTTTGATTCCTTGGTGGTCATTTTGTTTCTTTCATCTACAATGACCCTAATATTCCATCATAGTCTTATCATGACTTACTGAGTGTAAAAATTACAAACTGTTTATTGTCTAAAGGTATCAATAGTTGAGATTGGTCAGTAACTTTGATAAAAATCCTTAAAAAAACATTTACTGGGACTTTGAGCTGAGAAACACATAATCAGAATGGGATTTCTCAAGTAAAATGCAAACAAATATTGGCACAAAACTGTTTATGTGTAATCAGTTGATCTATTGACATTCAACCAGTAAAAAAAGATGTAGGGACATTTTCCCTCTCTTGTATAATTCTCTAGAAAAACCCTGAAGTTATGAGTGTTTATTAAATAAAATAATTTATTAAGTTAATTTTGTGGAAAGCAATCACAACTGATATGCAAAACTGTTCTGTATTTGTTATTTTGTAGTAACATTCAAATGCTGTTGAAATAGTGTCATATCATCAGCAAACCATGTGACTTTAGTCGTCCACCCTGTGATCCACCTCTTTTCTATATTCCTTATGACCTCTCCTTCTCAGAAGCAGGTCCGGATACAGCTCAGTGATGCCCCTAATAAGCAGGTGGGTGCGCTTGTCCTTGCAAGCCCATCTCCAAACGACCCACTTCCTCCCTCGTGCCACAGTCATTAGCTGCATGGGTTGGTTCTAACTGTTTGAAACTGCTAGGTTGACCTTCCTGCCATTAACTATCAGTGTCCATTTCTCGTGATTCCTGCTGCGGTCAACAGCCCGCAGATGTAAGCAGAGTGAAAATGATCGGCCTGTGCATGGCCACTGATTATGTCAGTCAGTGCTGTTTGAACAGCCTGATTGTTGGTTGAACTGACCCAGCCATAGGAAAATGTCAACACAACAGATTGGAGGAGAGGATAGATTATATTTGACAAATATTTGTGTCATGAAATGGGTTTGTAGTGAAGATAGGAGCAGTCAGAACCATGGTGTAATGCAGAAGTGAGTTTAATGATGACCTCAAGGTTCACAAAACCAGGAAGCAAAAGTGAGCAATGAGACATGAACAGAGACTAAGGAAGGGGAATGAAGACTGTCACACAGGCAAGGATCCGGCCCGGCACAAGAGACACAATTGAGCTTAAAAACACAAGGAGGAATGAGGGAAACAAGAAAATCAGGGGATAGACACGACAACACAGGGACTAAATTAACTGAAAAACACACAAATCCACATCCTCACAGTTTGCTCATGCTAATGATTTATTTCAACATAACTTTGACTCTCTACTTGCTTGTGTGCTCTAGCTGGTATCTAGTTTTAATGGCCCACCTCACACTGCTTTGCAATTAGAAACAATGGATTGCATGTGATATGCTCACAGTATGTCCTATTAAACTTCTTGAATATATCCAAAGATCTATAGAATCTGAAAATGATAAATATCACCCTTGATGAAAGATGATATTTATGAGATGAACTGGCAATGTTCATCTCATCTCTTAGTGAGACGAACAATCTCTATATCGACACTTGCCGACTAAACACACCAAAAATACATTAACACAGTGTTGTCTGACTCACTTTGTTTTATTGTCAGAAAAATCTGATCCCACGAGATGAGATGGAGAATGAGATTCTTTGGCAGGTTTTCTTGTGTCTGAAACTAGAAAACCTGAGACAAATCGTATATCTACATGGAAAGAGCTGTAAAATATGGAGAGCCATTTCTGCCAAAATTGAATGAATGAATAAATAAACAAATAAATAAATAGCCTATTTATAATTATTCATTTATTTATTTATTTATTCATTCCCGCATTAATTTTTGTCTGTCCTTTTCATTTCCTTGTTTCCTTTATTCTTTTATCTTTTCCGTCTTCATTCATTCAGTTTCCTTATTTCTGTCGTGATGGTATCAAGTTGATTTACCCACAGGAGAATCAAAATCAGTGAAAGGATGTTTATTTAAACATAGAGACGAGGGGTAGAAACACAGGTCCTTGGAACTGGCTCACGGAGTTGTCTGCACACCTGGGGACAGCAAAGGGAGATGGTGAGTTCATGGGAGTCGGGAAAATAGAGGTACAAGATGAATTAGACTGATCTTACTTGTGAGGATAATAATTTGCGGCAAGAGGAGAGTTGACTGTGGGTTCAGGGCTCCAGTTGCTTATGTGAGTCCTTGGAGGTGTCCAGGTTCCAGAGGGAGTAGATGGTTGAGCTGACTCCCAATGGAGAGGCGGAGGCTACAGAGGAGCAATCCGTCTGCCAGCTGAGGAATCCAGGAAACACTTGTGATCAAACGGAGGAGGTGGTGGTGGAACTCGAGCAGCCAGTGGATAATGTTCCACAGTGTCACGAGGGGAGATTGTCCAGAGAGCCAGAGCAGAATCTGCACTGGAAAATCCAGAGTATCGTAACAGGCTAACACTCAGGCGACAAAGTGCTGGCAGTCGGTTCCTATTAAAGTCCAGGAATTCTGAGGAGATGAAACTCAGGTGCGCTGAATCCATGGCACGCCCTACCACAATGGCAGCCTGTGATGCCCTCTTGTGGATGACAAGGTGCAGCAGCAGCCAAATCCAAAAACGCACAAAGAAACTAAAACCCTGTTCCCAACAATTTCATCCATCCATCCATTTTCTTCCGCTTATCCAGGGTCGGGTCACGGGGGTAGCGGCTTAGGAAGGGAGGCCCAGACTTCTGTCTCCACAGCCACTTGTTCCAGGGGAATCCCAAAGCATTCCCAGGCCAGCCAAGAAACATCGTCCCTCCAGCGTGTCCTGGGTCTTTCCTGGGCCTCCTCCCGGTGGGACGTGCCTGGAACACCTAACCTGAGTCTGCCAATCCAGGGGTACTGCCCCCAATGTCCAAGCAATATTGCAGAGTCGTGTCAGCCAACACAACCCTACAACATCCAGAGCCTTAAGGAACCCAGGACAAATCTCATCCACACTGTGGCTCTGTCACCGAGGAGCTTTTTAACCACCTCTGTAACCTCATCCCCAGAGATTGGAGAGCTTGACCCAGAGTCCCCAGGCTCAACTTCCTCAATGGAAGGCATGTTGGTGGGATTGAGGAGGTCTTTGAAGACAAAGTTGATCATCGAATTGCAGCCAACGGTGTCCTGGTGCCAAGTGCACAATATGGACTCCCATATTCCTGAACATGGTTTTTGTTATGGACAATCCGGGATGAGCACAGAAGTCCAACAACAGAACACCACTCGATTCAGATCGGGGGGGCATTTCTCCCAACCACATCCCTGCAGGTCTCTCTGACTTTGCCCACATGAGCGTTGAAATCCCCCAGTAGAACCAAGGAGGGGCACTTTCCAGTTCCACCTTCAAGAACTCCAAGAAGGGTGGGTAATCTGAACTGTTTGACCTGCAAGCACAAACAGTCAGAACCCGTCACCCACCCATAGGCGGAAGGAGGCTAGCCTCTCATTCACCGGTGTAAAACCCTAACGTACAGGCACCTAGATGGGGTGGAATATCCCCATCTTGGTGCCTGATGTCCAATCCTGCCTGGTGCCTCTTACCATGGGCAACTCCAGAGTGGAAATATATCCAGCCGCACTCATAGAGTCTGGTTCCAGAACCAGAGCCATGTGTCGAGGTGAGACTGACTATTTCTAGCCAGAACCTCTCAGCTTCACACACCAGCTCCGGCTCCTTCCCCACAAGAGAGGTGACATTCCACGTTCCAAGAGCCAGCTTCTGCAACAGAGGATCGGACCCCTCCTTTGTCCACCACCCATCCCGTACTGCCCCTGACCCCTGTTGCCCCTCCCGCAGGTGGTGAGCCCATGGGAAGGGGGACCAATGTCTCCTCTAGGGGCCGGGCCCGGCTAGGCTCCATGGGAAAAGTCCGGTCACCAGGCACTCGCCATCATGCTTCACCTTCAGGCCTGGCTCCCGAGTGGGGCCCCCCGTGACCTGCATCCGGGCGAGGGAACACTAGATCCATTGTTATTGATCATCATAAAGGGTCTTTAGGCTGCGCTTTGTCTGGTTCCTTATCAATTTATAATAATTTATAATAATTTATAAATTTATAAAAATATTTGTTTCTGCTTTATTATGATGAGGAGGAGGAGGGGCAGTGTCTTCAGGCTACAGCTTCTCCCAATTGGTTGGTTAGCATCACACTGCGTTGCTTCAAGAAAGATGGCAACCTACCAACAATTTATCAGTGAGCTGGTGCTTATTAGAAAACGGTGTTATAACTCCTGACTTTCTTATTTTTCGTGTGGAAGCTCAGACAGAACATGTGTTTCAGTTAGCGGCTCTCATGGACTTCACCAATAGAAATTAGCCTCATTCTTTTTAAATTGTTGACATAGCAACAGCTGCAGATTTAAGATAAAAATTTGATTACCTTAAAAATTGCAATTAAACATTGCAGTTGTTTCTCAAAGGAAGAGTTTTAACCCTTCTGTGGTCTTAAGAGACAGGGTTATTTAGACCTCATGAGCACGCGCCCCTTAGTGGTCTACCCAGCAGAAGAAGACAACAGAGCTCTTCTTGTGTTTCTCCTTTTGCTCATTTTCACCCCAGGAAGAAGGACATGAAAACACTGAAACTAAAACTGAATTGACGTCCAGATGACTTTGTGCTTTCAAACCCTTAATGAAGCCATTGTTGACAGTGATTCCACTGAGTGTCTGAATGTGCTACCTTTCTTGGCCGTTTAGGCTGCAGTAGGTTTAAACAGTGAGTGTGTGTGTTTCAGGTGACCCGAACTTCCTCTGAGAGCATCACTTCAGTTCCTGCATCCAGTGCCTCTGGCTCACCCAGCAGAGTCATCTATGTAAGACTGCTCACAGACTGTAGCTTTAATATGTTCTAAAAAGTTATTTTTGTTTTGTTTGAACAAAATAAGAGCTGGTTAAAAACATTTCCTTGTTTTCTGGTTGCCAGGCCAAACTAGGAGAAGAGATGCTAGACTACAAGGACCTGGCAGCACTTCCAAAGACAAAGGCTATCTATAACATCGACAGGCCTGACATGCTTTCCTACTCTCCTTATATCAGCTACCCATCAGAGGAGAGGCACTATGGAGAGGTACGATACTTTCTTTCAACTCACCGATCATTTTTGGAGACTGGGCCTATTGAATTAAAAGGCCCCAGTCTTCAACAGCAGGTACAGGGTTGATGCAGAGAACTTTAGGCCTCTTAATTTTGTAGAACTGTTGCAACATGTTGGTACATTTGAGGGCTTTGCAATTTTAAGATCTTCACAGAGCAACTGTATTTATACTCAGATTAAATTAAGCACAGATGGACAATCAAATATCAAATGAAATTTTATTTGTATAGCACTTTTCAGTTCAAGGAATTTCAAAGTGCTTTAGATCACAAAAACACAAAGTCATTAACACAGAGTCAAAATTACATTTTGCCATCATTACACTTCAGATTATTGATTGTTTCAGAATTATGTTTCAAAAGCAACTCAAAACAGGTGGGTTTTTAGTCTAGAGGAACTCAGTGTGTCGGCAGTTTTCCAGAAGTTTGTCCCAAATTTGTGGTACAGAGAAGAGAAGATGAAAACTGCTCCACAGCAGCAACAGAAGGACGGTTACACCGTGACCCTGCTCCCCCTTCCTTCACTCTCTCCTCTCTCAGTCACGACTTCCTCTTCTGAGAGGGGAGATGTGCTACCAGCTCTCCATCTAACAGGTGAATTGAGTTTCCTAAATCAGCTGGGATTCCCCCTGTCCAGAACTGAAGTAAACTCTGTTTAAGCTGACATGGAGAAAGGATTCGCCTGGTTACTGACGGCCTACATCAGATGTCCCACCCTTCTTCCCCCTGAGAATTAGCCAGACTGAACAGCCTGCAGCCAACTGGTTTCACAGAGCACATCTGTTGACGGTCGCTCCTTCTCTTTATCACAACTTGCACTTGTTACTGAACCAGGCTGGTTTTAGTGACCCAAGGATGTTGTTTTAAATGTTTTAAATTACTTTTTCTTCCCTAGAATCAAACATCATAGCTATTTTATGACCATCAAAGAACTTTGAGATGACTTGTTAATTGAATGTCCACAACATCTTTTAGATTTTCTTTATGCTAAATATTTTCTCAGTGAAGCAATTTTGCAAGGGTCACTACAGCTTAATTAAGTAGCAGAAATAATCAAATAAGTAAAATTAATCATCTAGCCTATCTTTCCCTAACGCTGATACTAAGAACTAAAAAGGGAACCTTTGAGATGAAGTTTGGTGTTACTTATAAAATGTATATTTATTGAAAAATAAATGTGTTAAAATCAAATAATTTGTCCTTTTGTTCTTTCATTCTCTCTTTCTTTCATTCTTCAGGAGTATTTCATTGATGGAATTTTCCCTACATCCTTGGCTTCTTTTGCAGCTGAGAACAAAGGCAGTTCAATGACTTTCTCTTGTCTGTTTGTGCATCCAGGGTGATGGGGAGAAATCCCCCCGTCAGCGGAGGCCCTCAAGCCCCAGTTCCAACAGCTCTCTTGGGGGGTATGGACGGTACACCCCGTCCCGTTCCCCTCAGAACTACAGCAGAGCAGGTAAGAACCACATTGTGCTGCGATTCTTTGACCTGTGAAAGAGTAAACTTGATTAGTAAAACAGAGATTCTGCCTAGAAATGGGCAGAATCGCCATGGATGTTCATCGCTGCTGATGATAGTTTTTTCTTTCAATGCATCTGCTTCAAATAAGTAACAATAGTAACAATATCTAAACACTTTCATTTTAAACTGCCAGTTTCGAATTAAAGTGCCATTAGAGATTACTTAGATGTCTAATGGCACCTTGTTGCTGGTTTTTTTTTCTTTTTTAGGAAACTGTAATTATATGACTTGAAACAGATTTGTGAAAACGCTTTGAGTTCTTTGGACTGAAGACTTGGACAAGTATATAGGATTTTGACGAATATTTCCACGTTTCTTATGTAATTGGACATCCAGGACCAGAAGTACACATGGGTGTTAAATACAGCAGCCTGGCCCGTGATTCCAGTTCCCTCCCTTCACCTAAACCCTTCCTGTGTGGTGTAAGGAACCCCTCCACCTTGGCAAGGGATGCCTCCTCTCTCCCTGCACACTACTCTGGCAGGGCTGAAGGGAGTGGGGGTGATGTAGGCATTGGCAAGTACTCACCAACACCACTAAGGGGCAGTGCAAGCTTGTCTTTACAGCTAAACCCTACAACCCTGGCAATGCTCCAGCAGCATAACTACATCCCTTATTTCAGAGGTATCAAAGCATGTTTGAGAGAGTGACTGGAGGAGTTGCTGGTATTGTTGCTGCTGTCAGCCTTAAGGATGGAGAACAAACTAGCAAAAGCTGTAATGTGATATACCTAAAAACTGTCAAACCTTTCAATTTAGTAGTAAAGCTATAAATCTCTTGGAAAGATGTTGGATTTCAACAAAGCAGCAACATGCCTTCCAACTCTGTTTTTTGTCTTATCACCAATGTCCTCATGGATGGGAGTGCTGTTAAAGACTTTGTGAATTAACTTTCAACCATGGGTTGTGGTTTAACATGGATTCATTGAGTGTTGGAAGCTCTTTATCTGTGGATTCTTTAACTATAGATTGATGGCCTTCCATTGGAAACAGAATATCTTGTTTGGTGTGTATTTTACATGGTGCTATACTCACTGTTTTTAAGCCATGAAGATTCATTTTCTTTATTTTTTTATTAACTCAAGCCATGAAACTGATAATGCTGTACACGATATCTCACACTCAAAATCAACATCACAAACCAGCACTGTAACCAGTCACACTCTGCAACCCCTGCTGAAAGGCTTGTCCAACAATTTTCCTGGGCTTCATCTTCTCCCCATTGCTTGATGTCCCTCACGCCTCAGGGTTCAAACAGGACCCCGTTCCTGGTCCTAAGCCTAGGACATCCCTGCACCTCAATTTACCACCTCCCAACGGTAAAGACACCATTAATTAGTCTTTCTCTTGTTTGTGTCTCTTCTCCCCCTTGTGGAGTAGTTGGGAGATTTTGTGATGTTGTTGTTTGGTATCGTGGTGTTGCTGAGTTTCATGGGATTCCTCAAAGCATATTCACAGGACCATTGACTTCTTGTATTCTGCTTGCTCTGTTCACTTGTGTTTGTGGACGTGGTGTTGTGGTGCATGGTTTAACTCAATGTAGAAGTTCTAATTGTAATGCTTTCTCATTTGACATTTGTCTTTATTAAGGTTGGGGATTTCATTTTGTGTCCATCTGTTTAGGTTACTGTCCCGGTTATTTGCCAGCCTTTGACATCTTATCAACTGTTAATCTGAATAATCCATAGTTATGTGTCATATGACCTTATCTTCTTGATCTTCAACTCTACATGTTTTCATATGAATGTCTTGTTATATTATCTTTGAGCATGTCATCAGATACCTGGTTCAATTTGAAATTTAGTTTATGTTATTCACAAATGTTGAATCAGCCAATCACATGACAGCAACTTAATGCATTTAGGCAAGTAGTCATGGCCAAGACGATCTGCTGCAGTTCACTTTTGATTCAAGATTCTTGTTTCTCTTAGGTTCAAATTGCAACCTGTACTTTTTCTATCTTTTTCAAATATTATCTTGCAACTTCAGTCCAGTAATCTAAAATGCAACTCTAGAGTTTGAAACAGTTTGTTACATTTTTTGAAAATAAACCCTATAACCAGCAACCAGCTTCCATAAATTACTTGCAGTAATTTTTCTCATTTCAGTTTCACCTTAATGGGGCAGTGTCATTCCAAATTGACTTTGGAATAACACTTCTGTGATGGTCCGACCAGCAAACTCAAGGACAAAGGCATAAAAAAAATAACTATTTAATTTTTCAAAGAGTTAAAGATTTTTTTACAACAAATTTCAAAAAGAAATATAAGAAAAATGGGCCCAAAAATAATCAACTAAAGCATACCAACTCAAACAAAACTAACTGACTCTTCTCAATGAACACACAGGGGAATTTATATACAAAGGCTAGCCTACACACACACACACAAGGAGGGGTGGGGGAACAAACAAAACAACCAATACATAAACATAAATAAATTCAAATCACAACATTTTACTTTAAACACAACTATAAACAAAACAACCTAACACCATAAATATTATAACAATAGAGTGAGAGGAAGATGTCAATAGGGCGAGAGGAGGAGTCTTCCACATCAAATTCCCTGCTTCCCGCAGCCTGATGGTTGGTTCCAATTACTGGTTTGAGACAATCAACTCCTCCCAGCCAGTCCTTCAACTCAACCAAAAACAAAATAATTAATATTCTAAATAAACCAAGCGTTTACTAAAATGTGTGCACCCAATCTAGTAAACAACTTAATACCAAAACCCACCAAAGAAAAAGTGATATAACCAATATAAATATTATCAATATAAAACATTAACTAAATACTAACACTAAAGAAAAGAACACTTAACACTGAGAAGATGGAGGAACCTCCACAACTTCACAACATGATATAATTGTAATGACGCGAACACTGCTGCTGTATTACCGCCAAACAGTGTTTATTAGAATAAGTACGAGCTGCTATTCCTGAGACTGCAGCTCACTCCTCAAACAAACTGGTACACTCAATGGACAAACTGGTCAATAGACAAAATGGATTTGGGTTAGCTTCACTGCTAACCCAACTTTGGTTTACACACTTCTACACTTCCGGTCCTACTGCTGCCGCTCCACCGATCCCCCGCCCACATGACCGACCCATCACATGTGAGTGGGAGTTAGCAGCGTTAGACAGGGGAAGCCCGTAACACTCTACACATAACAATAAGGACCACAATGCAACTTATAACAAATACACATAACCATTTGGACCCCTGTTACAGCAGAAATACTTTTTACGGAGTTGTTTTTGTAGGAAAAGATTGCTGGCGTCAGCAATCTTTTCGCCAGCATATATGGTAATCATGCAGCGTCTTGGACCGGCTGCATGATTACCGTATTTTCCAGACTATAGAGCACACCACAGTATAAGCCGCACCCACAAAATAAAAAAAAACAAAAAACTGGAAACGTACATATATAAGCCATAATGGGCTACAAGCCGCTGTTATCTCTGCCGCTCTTGGTTTTTCACAAGGATGCAGCCCTACATGTCCATTTAACCATGGATTCATTCACGCTGAGCTTACATGCAGCAGCTCTATTTCTGTCCTGTACTACCTGATATTTAGCCCTCTTTTTAAAAGCAGCATCATTTGAACTTCTTCGTGTGGTTTCCATGATGAGTGGGTAATAGTTGGAAGAAAGTTCTCTGCTGTGCCTGCTGCTAGCATGTGCTTGTTCTAAATGAAAATTAGAAAAAGCGCATTATGTGCTGTTTATACACCAGACACCATGCAGGTGTTATCAAGGGCAAGGGATGAGTTCATCGCTTTCTTAGATGTCCTCTCTCTGTACTTTCCCTGTGTACAAACAATACATGTGTTCATTTCATACAGAAACATTTTACTCAAGAAAGTGGGACCAAAGTTTATCAGCTTTCTGTGTTTCTTATTTCAAACTGCCTCAAACTGTTTCCTGAACCACACAGAGCTCTCCTGACCTCTCCTCTGACCCAGGACATCAAACAGCAGATTCTGATTACAAAAATGATCATGTTTCATATAATATCTTCAAACGCCTATAAAACAGACATGAGCAGTTTCAATACCAAAACATCTGCTACATTCAATATTTTCTGATTAGTTTTCTATCTATTGGGTTACAATGAACTTGTTAAAATTTTCAGGCCAAGTCCATGGTTTCAAAAAAGTTACATACTGCAGCTTTAAGAGGGCATTTATTTAGTCTGCTTTAATCAAACTCCAGTTTATTATTTAAATTGTTTTATATTGTTTTACATTTGTGCATATGTATTAATTAATATATTAGAAAACAATATATTTATTACTGACAGAAATTGAAGCAATTTGTATATAATGATAACTAAAAACAGCCTTCTGTTTGGACGAGAGTTAGTCCAAACAGTTTCACTATAACTTGCATTTAAATTACAGATATCTTTTTTTTTATGGAACCCAAGACTCCTGGCGGCGCCCAAGGTGCAGTGTGAAAGTGAACTGTGCCAGATGAAATGTAACAGTCTTTCAATTTTGTTCCCCATTTGAATCAAGTCCATTGGACTGTGTGAAAACACCCTAGAGCAGGGGTGTCAAACGTACGGCCCGCGGGCCGAAACCGGCCCGCTGAACGATTTAGTCCGGCCCGGGGTCTAAATGCCCCAGCCGGACCATTATGATTGAAAAAAAAACAACATACACTTCGTTTAATTGAAAATCTGCAATTCCTATATTGTCCACGAGGGGCGCAGTTTTTCAGAGCAGACATCGGATTTAACAGCAGATGGCAGCACTGAGCTTCAGGTTCTGTAAACAGCTTTGATTCTATCGCTTTATCAGCGTTTTATTTTGGTCCCGGCAGCCTCATCAAAGACATGTCTTTCTCAAAAAATGGAAAGGTAGACAGACACAGTGTCGGATTTTTCAAGAAAAATTTACTTCTTCTTATTTGTTCACGGAGGTGAATGGAAAACCCGTGTGCCTTGTGTGCCTGCAGCAAGTTTCGGTGCTTAAGGAATACAATATTCGCCGCCACTATGAAACTCAATATGGTGAAAAATACAAGCACTTGCAAGGAGAACTGAGAATCAGAAGATAAATGAAATGTTGACGGTCTGAGGAAACAGCAATCTGTTTTCACCCGGAGTCGAGAGGCCAGTGATGCTGCGGTGAAAGCCAGCTAGCTAACTGCTAGCCAAATAGCGTTAGCATCAAAGCCTTCCTGTGGGGGAACTGCATGCTGAAGCTGTTCAAGTTGTGTGTCCTGAGAAGCGACAAGCTTTTGCCAAGATTAGCTTGACTAGAAATACCGTCGCAGACAGGATTTCGGAACTATCTGCAGATTTGGACAACCAGCTTAAACGCAAAACGGAGTCATTTCTGGCATTTTCTGTTGCCAGTGATGAGAGAGAGTACTGACGTTGCTGATGTCGCTCAACTGTTGATGAGACGTTCACTGTCACAGAGGAGTTTCTAGAGTTGGTGCCCATGACCGACACCATGACATCTGAAGACATTTTCCGCTCCGTTGTTGGAGCGCCGGACCGAGTCGGGGTGGACCGGTCCCTCTCCGGGTGGACCGGTCCCGCTCCGGGTGGACCGGTCCCGCACCGTAAGCCTAGCTACTGATGGTGCGCCGTCAATGCTTGGGACAAAGACAGGTGTTGTGACAAAGTTCAGAGAGAAAGTCCAAGCTGCAAATAAAGGGAGGGGAGTTTTTGGACATTTCATTGTATTTTGCATCAGGAAGCATTATGCTGCAAGTCGCTAAAATGCACCATGTCATGAAGGTGGTTCTCCGAACTGTTAATTTCATCCGAGCCAGAGCTCTCAGTCATTGTCAGTTCGTTGAGTGAAATATTTCTCATGCATGCAATACATGTTATGTATGAAAGTTTTTCTATATGTATATATTTTATGCATCAACAAGAAAGGCGACAAATGTACTTAATCAAATGTCTGTTTAAAACACTTAACATTTCAAATGTGTGAAGCTCGCTAATTTGTTTAAATTGCTTCCCAGATGTAGAAAATTGATTTTAAATCATTTCTTAATTTTTATCTGTTTGATGTATTTTTGTCATGCAGGACAGTGTTTGAAGTTCCAAAAACTGTCAATAAATGTTTTGCAACTTTGTAGAATCACTGCGATCAGTTCTTACGCATAATGCACTTAAATAAATGTTTAACTGAGTAAAATTATTGTTGAAATTGTATATTAAAAAGTCTGAAGTTATTCATAATATATTTTTGTAAAAGTGAAATTTGTTTAATATAAAAATCAACGAGTCCACTTTCATTAGTTCTATTTAATCTTGCAATGAGTTAATTTGTGCGGCCCCTGGAGATCAGATTAAGCTGAATGTGGCCCCTAAACCAAAATGAGTTTGACACCCCTGCCCTAGAGTAACTGACAAAAATACCTTCTCTTGTGTTGTGACCTTTTTTTAAAATAAAATTGTAGAATCGACATGTGTAACTGTCAGCAAAATGTAGAAAATAGTTCCTCGAGGCAGCAGGTATAGTAGAAAGTGAAGAGGTTTAAATTTGAGCCATGTGGTACCATGATAGTTTAGAAGATAATATAACTAGTTCAGATACACAGGGTGGACTGTGATGTAATTTAATATCTGTTGCTGGGTCATGCTTTTTAATGCTAACCCAATTCCTTCTTCATTCTTCAGTAGGAGATGTAACACAGTGCCCGATGCGTTCCCTCTGGTCATTATATCTTAATGCATATCATTAAGTGTATTATCTTTGTGAAGAGGATCTGTTCTACGTTTCGGCTGACACTAGCAGCTTTCTGCACTTCATGTGTGGAATTCTCAGCATGTGTGTAATGGTGTAAATCAGATCACTTACATGACACTGACATGTGTGTTGGTGATCTCATCTACTTGCATCCAGATTACTGCCAATGAGTTGTTTCCCTCTGTGGAAGAGACTGCATACAGTCAGCTGACACTCTCTCATACTCAGTCACATGTTCCAACGTTCTCTGTGTTGATTTCACATATCTCTGGATGTAGAGCATAAAGTGGCTCACCAGCCACTTTATTAGGTACACCTGTCCAACTGCTCATTAACACAAATGTTGAATTAGCCAATCACATGATTGGCTAACTTAATGAATTTAGGCAAGTAGACATGGCCAAGACGATCTGCTGCAGTTCAAATTGAGTGTCAAAATGGAGAAGACAGGTGATTTAAGTGACTTTGAATGTGGCTTGGTTGTTGGTGGTCTGAGTATTTCAGAAACTGCTGATCTACTGGAATTTTTACGCACAACCATCTCTAGAGTTTACAGAGAGTGGTCCAAAAAAGAGAACAGTTGTGGCAGTGGCAGTTCTGGGGCGCAAATGCCTTGTTGATGCCAGAGGTCAGAGGAGAATGGCTAGATTGGTTAGAGCTGATAGAACTGTAGCTCAAATAGCCACTCGTTACAACCGAGGTATGCAGAAGAACATCTGTGAACGCACAATACGTTGAACCTTGAGGTGGATGGGCTACAGCAGCAGAAGACCACACCGGGTGCCACTCCTGTCAGCTAAGAATCGAAAACTGAGGCTATAATTCACACAGGCTCACCAAAAGTGGGCAATAGAAGATTGGAAAAACGTTGCCTGATCTGATGAGTCTCGATTTCTGCTGCAACATTCGGATAGTAGGGTCCGAATTTGGCGTCAGCATCATGAAAGCATGGATCTGTCATGCCTTGCATCAACAGTTCAGGCTGCTGGTGGTGTAATGGTGTAGCGGACATTTTCCTGGCACATTTTGGGCCCATTAGTACCAAATGAGCATTGTGTCAACGCCACAGCCTACCTGAGTATTGTTGCTGACCATGTCCATCCCTTTATGACCACAGTGTTCTGATCTTCTGATGGCTACTTCCAGCAGAATACTGCACTATGACATGAAGTGTGAATCATCTCAGCCTGGTTTCCTGAACATGACAATGTACTTGATTCTGTAAGGACAGTGATCAAAATGTAAGCCACCATTTGTACTCCCGTTGGTAACATACTGGATGTGTACAAGCTTGAAAAAGGCTGCTTTAAAGTGCCCATCAACATTCAGTAAAGTGTTGCTTTTCTATTTTTGGCTTTCTTTTGCAATAAAACAGTAGTTCTACAAGAATCCACAACACTTGTTCAGTACAGAGATTAAGTGAACTGTACATAATAAGTTTGGGTATCAAATCACTAACATAAGTGTTTGTAGCCAGACTTTCTCATTTGACTTTTGCAAATATGCTTTCCATAAAACTACATTTGTTGCCCTTCCTCCACAACCTTTGTAACCTCCATTTCCCTTTTCCCTTTGTCTCCAACATCCGTAATCCAATGGAGGTAGTGAAAGTGGTCGGAGTACTCCCAGCTTATCCACCTTCTCTGATGGCAAATCTCCCTCATCTACTTCGACATATGTGGCTGCTCCCCGGCATTTCCACATACCAGGTAGGCCACAGCTGTGCTGTTCATTTTTGAGTGAGTTCTGGATTCTTTACTAAACAATTTGATGAAAACTAATTTCATCATATTTAGTAATTATAACCATTTCTGATCGATTTGATTGGTAATGGTTTAATATTGAAATTTGGTTAGATTCACATGCTAGCAACCAAGAGCAAACAGTGTTACGATTCATATCTGTGTTGAAGGTGGTAGTATCTCTAACTTTGATGGTGGATTAACTGACAAGAGTCCCAATACAAGAATTACAAAGAGTTGATTGATGAAGATCAGTTAACCCAAAACATTGATTTTAAATAAATCTGCTGCTGTCATATTTAAAAATACTTGTGATTTTGGTACAGGTGTGAGAAAATGAAGTTGATTTTGTGATTCATGAAGTCATGTCTTTGAAGTGAGTGTCGATTTTGATGCCCTCCCCTTTTCAATAGAGCATGTTCATTGGGTCTCAGAATGTGAAATTTAATGTTATGCTACAAAGTAGAACAAGCTGTCAGTTTCACTTTCAATTACAAGCATTTGGCAGCCTAGAGTGACAGGACAAAAATTATCACAGACTTTATAGTGCAGTGTGAGTTATGTAGCATTGGTCCAGTTTACATTGTGTATTCAAGTTGCTACATGTTTTGACTTGTATACGAGTCTTCTGATAGGCTGGCTTATCTTGTGACCACTCCACCATAATGGACATCAAAACAACCGATGTGCTCCCTAAAATCTAAATGGACATCTAGTAGCATCTTGCTTTGACTTAGTTGAATTGATTTTAAAAATTGTCATAAGGTGCTTTACTGTCGTCTACACAAACAGACAACGTTGCAAACTAATCTTGTCATTTTATTGAACAACTGTAAATTAGGCTTGACTCAGACAAATAGAAGCCATGAATGAATTGGCAAAAACAAATTGGGAAAACAATTTCAGTCGGTTTGTTCAATACTCCAGTCCCTCACTTCCGATGTCCATCATAGCACCTTCAATGATTAAGTGACAAAGTTGCAAACTGTCAAACATGTAGTAGTCCAATGCTAGAGGGTTATTTGGCATTGTGTCTTCCTACCTTAGTGAAGTGGAACAGATATGCAAGACTGTTACACAGGTATTAGTTCTTGAATTATTTCTATTTTTAAAATGTTTCATTAGCTCTAGTGGCCTGGATAGTGAATCGACTGAAAAGTGGGTAATGAGAGAGCAGGAAGACATGAAGCAAAGGTCATTAGGCCAGGATTCAAACCTGTGATGGCTGTGTCAAGGACTAAGTCCTCCATTTATGGGTTCTGCTTTACCCATCTGCTACCACAGCACCACGTTCTCCATTTAATTCTAAAACGATTCATTTGGATAGTAAATTATACATTTCTACTTCTGATTCAATCCTGTTTGCTAGCTTAAAAGAAATTCTCTACATCAAAGTGATTCAACAGCAGACATCATCTCCTACAATGAAACGGTAATTTATTTGAATAAGAGCTGATTTTAAACACTACATTCTTTGATTCAGTATGTTGTGCCTATAGATGAAAACATTGTTTACTCTTACAAAAGCGGAAAAAGGAAATCGAAAGCAAGCCAAGTGAAAAAACACAGAATGTAATTATCCATTTAATTGCTTTCATAGCAATTGTCCTGATTGTTTTTATATGGAAATTGTTTCAGACGCTGGTAGACACTGAAACAAAACCATGTTGTTTTATTGTAACCTATCTTACGTTTGTGGTTTTAATGTGCAACAGTGACAGCATGAGTCATGCAGGTTTGTGAGTGATCTGTGGATTTGTCTGCGATGTTCATGAATGTCTACATAGCTAACAACATAAGAGTGTTTTGCTATAGCTGGCGCACATCTACCGGCCCAATATATTCACAGAACCAGAACATGTCAATTTGAGGTAAAGTGCCAGGAAGATCTGGCACCTGGTAGTAAGGGGAACAGGTAGTTCCTGGAAGAGCTTGAGAATGATTAAGAGAAGCATTATTAGCATACAGAGTGCAGGGAACAAGCACAGATTTAAAATATGAATGGGTATTTTGCTCAAAAATGTAGGAGTGTGACCCATTACTCTACCCTTTGAGTTAGAATAACAGTCAAATTTGACCTTAGGTGGAATATGAACAGGGCCAATGAAGAGTTCCTCAATGGATGTGTGGTTGACCTGAAGGAGCTTTGTGAAGCCTCTGGAACCCTCAAGAGTTGGACGTGGAGGAGCAACTCCTGTGTGTGTGTTGACAGGTTGCAAACCCTGAAAGGGAAAAAGCAAAATGTCTGGGAACAAGTCAGAGCTGTTTGGATAAGGATGTGGAATCACCATTGGTGAGTGGCCAGCTAAAGGCATGTGTGAGCAAACATAGCAATTTGACCTGTCGTGAGCAAAATACTTAGCATAGCGGTACCACAATTTTAGGTGTAAGGAGTGAAGTGTTTAAGTTGCAAGTCCATGGTAGACGGCCATTTAATATCCCGCATTTTATATAAAGAATTCTCCACCTTATCGGAGAAAAATGAACCCCACCACATGAGTGACACAAACAAACAATGCAACATTAAAATAGGCAACACAAATGGGGACGAGATGAAGGCGTGATCGCTGTCATAATGAAATCCAGTTTCCTCTTTCTTTCTCTTTTCCCTGGAACTCTTTTCATATTTAATTTAATCTTCACTCCCAGTTTGACCACTCGCCAATGGACCAGCAATAGTTCTTTGGTTCTATTTAGTTTTTGATGTATGAGGGCGAGTGTTTGTTGTTACTTTGTCTCTTTTATGTTGCTTTGATTCTTCTGTTTTCCTTTCCTGAATGTCGGCCTTTAGGGTATTGCAGGTTACTATCACTTAACACCAGCAGCATTAATTTATTCTCATTCAGAAAGTTGTGCTCCTTCATTTGTGGTTCTGTGGACTGCTGGACAGATTTCTCCTCACCAGGATGAGTGTCTCCTTGAAGCTACGATACTTTTTTACAGTGACTGGAGTGAAAAGGCAAGGCAGAGACCACACATGAGTTTTATTCCAAATATAAAGGATCCAAAACAAGAGGCGAGACAGTCTGGTTCTCATGGAGCTGAAGGAAACAACCCCCAATCTTGTACATGTAACCCAAATAGCTTTATCCAGTGGATATATGCAATAATTTAGAATAAACATATCGCAGTATAACTAGCAGGTATTACCTTATAATAATTTATAAGAATTTATCAGCCATAAAGGAGATCATTGTCTTATTTTCCTTCAGGCACTTCATCCAGTGTTACAATTGTTACATCACTTTCAACATGGATGTGGATTTTTCTAAAAACTGATGGTACCATGTATTTCTTAAAATGTCCTACTTCAAATAACCATCTTTATATTCATTCATAATACAGACCAATGAATAATTATATCTTTATTTTGTTGCATGTACACTATTACAAACCCAATGCTCTTGGTGTGCTACAATTGAAGCTATACCGTCCCCAGTATGTTCATTCTTCAATATAATGCTGACTCATGCTTCTTTTTCTCCATTCTCTCTTTTCCCTTCTTTCTTTCTCCTACCCGTTTTGGCTTCTTCCATTTTCTCTGCTCTGTATCCATCTTCAGAGGCTACAGTCAAAGATAATATCTATAGAAAACCCCCCATCTACAAACAGCATGGTACAGTCAACTTTGCCTTTAACACTTAATTCTCTGGTCTGGTCTCTGCATGATGTGTTGCATGTCAGCCATCTTGTTTTTTCCCCCCAGTTCTTACCTCTGGTTTTTTTGGCCTGCAATTTTGATAGTTTAGGGATCTACCTGCACTATTCTACATGTATTGTTTTAAAAGAAATAGGAAAATGTAAACCGTTGATTTAAAAAAAAAAGTTAAACCAAAGAATAATGACAATATCTACTGCATTTGCTTCTAACAATTCAGTCAATCTGAAGTCAAGCTAACCTCTACTAGTCCCAGCTGACAATTAGCTGTGTACATTTCCATGTGTGAAATTATGTCACACACGGAATAAAATATGGCAATCCTTTATTGTAATTCTGATAATGAAAATCCATAAATCATTGAATGAATGAAACAGCACAACATATACGTGTTTTGCAGAAAACCTGAGACCAGTCGAGTGTTTAACAAATGTGAACTGGATCCACAATGGAACGGTTCAGATCAAAGTGCATGTTTTAGACTGGTCTAGTCAAGGTCCAGAGTTAAATCTGACTGAAAAACTCTTACAAGATTTATAAACTGGTGTTCATAGATGCTCTTCATCTAATCTGACTCAGCGTTAGCTCTTTATTGAAAAAATATTGCTTAAAATATCTCACATGAAATCCTAACATAATACTAGTTTGTAGATAGAATGACACAAAATGTGTCAAGATGTCTGGATATTTTTGCACAATAATTAATTCAGTGCCCCATTAATTTATGTCTTGTTGTAAGGTTTGTAGGTGTGTGTTAATGGTATTCAGATTAAAATGTTCCCATTCTGCCTCCATAAAAGGTTATTTTCTTGGAAGCATCTGCTTCAACTAACGTTATTTTATAACTTCTAAGTTATAAAAGTTATAGCTAAAAAGTTATAGCTAAAAATCAATTTCAACAATGATATATACCTTCTCAGAAGGAGCATATGAAAGGATATATTTCAGATTCAGGAGGTAAATCGTATCTTCATTAACTTCAGAATGTGGTGAAGCAAAGCTGTGGCCTGCAGCTGATTTAGCAGGAGGCTCCGTTGTTCACCTCAGTCAAGCATGCTGGCATTCATGTCACCAGCTCATCTGTTGGTAATGCCTTAGCAGAGTGTGAACTCAGAATAACTTTGGATGTTGACATTAGTGTTGTGTTGTCACACTCATGTTCACTGTGTCTTCAGGTTTTTTTTTTGTCCCATAAGCAAACATATGTAATTTTCAACAGACTTGTGAATTTAGGAAAATCTTCCTAAGACTGTTAACCTGTTTGCTTTTTTATGTAACAAATGAGTAAATGGGCTGAATTTGTTTTCCATTTTTCATAGCTTTCTTGCTTTCTAGAAAACTTCTCTGGTTTTGAAAACAGTTTGTAAGATGGCCCACTATCCTATATTTTTTGCTAAAGAATAATTGGCCGACCAATAGAGAGAGTTTATCATGTAAAAACAGTTTGGGTGACATCATACCATTAGATGTTGTAAGACAGATCAAAGACAACTATCTATTGCCTACATGTAATGTGGTTGAAGCATTATTCATCATTGTAATAGGAATACAACCAAAGTTCCCAAGTAACTAGGTTTGCTGTTGCCCTGCTTTGATGTATGTCTACATAAACACCAATAGTTGTCTTTGCAGTTCTTCAAATCTGGTGTTAGTTTATAATATGTAGGTGATTAACACTTTTTTAAAACTGTAAATGTCACAAAACTCCCTCTAAATCTGCAGCTGTAGATATCATGTTCCAGGTTTGACTTGGACTCACCCTGGAGGACAGGTTAACTCAAAGTAAGGTGATCCAGCACACTGACTGTGACATGCTGTAACATTTGACTGTTTTACAGCTTCTAGAACATCCTGGCAGGAGGGTGATGATAGCAAGGTGGGTCTGTGTGGACACTTATTTTGAATTTCCAAATCTGTTCTCACCATCAATAAACTAATTATCTAATTATTTTTGCCATATTCCATCACTCCTGTCAATCATTCTGTCCCTTTTCTGTTTTCTCTGTCCTTTGATTTCTTTCTGTAGAGAACAAGTTGGATAATCTTAAAAAGTGAGACTGACGGTGAGATAGCTCCAGAAGACCTCAATCCCTGTAAATCCACATGCAGTCTCCCCATGGACACTTCCCAGCCAAGTGAGAAACTATTTACATCTCCAGATTGATGTTGAATCTTTCAAAAGTGCAAAAAAAGGAAAAATATTTAAATCCTTACATCTCTGTAGATTTCCCCTACAATAAATCTGCATCATTACCTGGATATGGAAGGAATGGCATCTATAAGGTGAGCAGCCAGTTTTTGATTAAACAGCCTATAAATACCCAAGTGATGAATAAAATCAGTTTACACTGTTGGCACAACAGGTCTTATTTGTGTTGCTGAGATAAAATCCCTGAAAGATTTAAAGAATTTAATACTCATGTACCACACTGACTCATAAAAAGAATAATAAAGTGGCTGAGTAGAAATCATTGTTTCCAGAATGGTTCAGACTTGCATCTGTTGGCAGAAGTGCAAATAAATATATTGGCGACATATTATCCTGTAGTGTGGATTTTACCTTTACCCAGTTTCTATCCAAAGAAAACTCAAAGAAATGTTTGAACTTGGAGCTCTATGAAGGGATTCTTGTGACAGCAATCTTCAATTATACTAAAGGGAGTGGCATAACTACAAGATTTGTAGTTATTGTCTTGTAGTTATGGCACATTGCCAGAGTAAAAAGGCTCTAACCTACACTTACATCACAGCCACAAACTCCAATGTATTTTATTGCTATTCAAGTGGAAATGCAATCACATTTTTGGTTGCATTTCTCTTCGGTGGAAAAGACCTCCGTTAATGATGGCAGTTTGTCTTAAATGTGTATATTCCTACAGGCTGCTGATATGGTGGAGGATGATGTGGATCCTGACTCCCACAGCTGGGGAGGCATGAGAGGTGAGACGAAATATCAACTTGAGAATCTTAACTTCAGTTCCTGTCTTCTGGAGCATAAATCTGCTCCACTTATTTTAATACAAACTGTTTAGACCTCTGCCTGCAGGTCGGCCTGACAGACACTTTCATCCCTAATGTTGTTTTTCTGATGGACACAATGAACAACAGCCAGAGTAGTCAGCTACTGTGAAACAAACTATTACTGTTACACCTGGAGTTTGGGGAAAAGTTGATAGTGTGGTCAGACATACATTATCAGTGGTGAGCACTAACTAAAAATGTGGTTGCATTAATCATTAAACACTCATCCTAAACATTAGTTATGCTAAAGCTAAAGCGCTACACCAACATGGTACCTATGTAGTGGAATCTAGAGATAATATTAAATCACTAAATTCAACCATTGTGTGTGACCCTAAACAGGGTCACATGTGTTATTTCACACCTACCTGTACAGTTTGTGCTTCAGGAAATGATTGTTTGGATCAGGCATTTTATTTATGACTCCAGCTTTATAGCTATTGGGTATCACCAAGTCTGTTGCAGATTTTCCCTAGTTGACCACATTTTGAGCACTTTTAAAGAAATTAAAATGAAAAACCTGTGCTCTAGAAAAGCCTGCATCTCTAGTAATGTAAACTTTAGGTTGTATGGCGTCATACACCAAGTCTTCCATCAGGAACATTGGGGTAAAATTTGACTTTGCTTTTTCCATAGAATCTCGTTTGCTCATATATTTTTCTAACACAATTTTGCTAAGCCATCTTTGCATTTGTTTGTGTGAGATTGCATTGTTGTAACTCATCAGTCACCTACCTAAACAAAGTGTATTGGACTGTCTGCAGAATAGGTCTATGGACCTGAAACTTTTTGAACTTGATTTTAATTGCACATGATGATGTTTAAGCTTGTCCACATGAAAATCACAATGTGTGGCAGAAAACTTAACACTTTACATCATCTGAACACACCTCCTCTTCAGCAAGCAGACAAAGGTTCCATAGAACGGTTTACATCAGTGCACATCCATGTTTTAGTCTTAACTGCAACTTAAAACTCTGACAAGATGAGAAAACTATAAACAGTCTAAGCTTGAGCTGTTTTGCAAAGAAGATAAAATTCAGTTTGTAGATGTTGAAAAAATACTTTCACAAGAGTCTGGATGAGAATAAATAAGAAATCTATAAAAACAATGAAAGGTGAGGACAAAAATACAGAGTCAAGGGAGTCTGTCGAGTCTGCTCTAGCTAACATTTGATCCTGGCTGCCTTTTCTAGGTTCTGATCAGCTGATCTTGTAACAGCACTTTGTCATCAACAGTTGTGAAGATTTGGTTGTTATGCTCCAAGGATTCTTGTGGAGCCGCAGGAGGAACACTGTGACAGCAAATGCAGGGCCGCAACGCAGAACCGGGTTGCTGGGGCAGAGAGGGGTGGGAGGTCTAAAATCCTATTTAGAGTTTAGTGGAGAATAGTGGAACACATATATACATGCAGAAATTACTAAAGGTTCTTTTTTTTTTTTTTGTAACAATTAAACGATCTTCCCTTCAGTTCAACCTTATAAGTGGAGATACATGGTTGACGTCACTATTCTAAAATAGCTTGTTATAAATAACTCGTGTTTATTATAAAATAAACACGAGCTGCCTTGTTTTTAAGTATTGGCAAAGCTCAATGTAATTTTCACAGGTTGTTGTTAGCAGCTGCTGAAAGTAACTAAAACATTCACTTTCAATGGAACTCAGTTTCTTTCCAAATCAAGTAATCAGTAATGTCACTAAGTTACTTTTTCAAAGTAACTATGCCATCACAGCTCTCAACTCTGGTGACCTAAGGTGACATCATGGAGAGGTGATGTCCTGTTTTCATGTGTACATGCACACCGTCTTTAGTGTATCTGCCAAGGAAAGAGTCTCAAGTCTCTAGCATGATAACCTGTCATGTTTTTGCACAACAAAATAAAAGTCAGTTCACCAGATTTACTTTAATATGTTTCTCTCTCTTTTCTCCTCTTTAGATTACAAGGTAAGAGATATTCTTGCTTTATGATGAAATTAGCTGATTACTAATATTGCTCACTGTCAAATCTCTCTCAATCCCTTTTCTATGCCAGATCTACCCCTATGAAATACTAGCAGTGACACATAAAGTGAAAGTGAAGCTTCCCAGAGATGTAGATCGCACCAGACTGGAGGTGAGTCCTGATCTGTTCCTCCCTCCTTCTTTCTGTAAGCTGGAGAAAATGTTCAAACATGGCTGTGAAATTATTCAGGATTTCAAATTGCAGTAGAAAAGACCGGTTAACTGTTTGGAATGAGCTTCCTTTGACGATTTAGTCTATGTTAAGATACAACTTACATGGATGAAAACAAAATGAGTTTCAATATGATCAATTACATTTAAGGCACAGAATTATGTAAAATAGATTTTGTTTTCTTAGCTGTATATCATGTTATGTTATTCCTTCATCAAAAGCATACCTGGAATGTTTCCTTGATTCTTTCATGCATGTTTGAGCAATTGTTTAATCTCCATGGCAACCATTCAACTGTGCAAAAGACCAACTATAAAATGATCCGATTTTCTTATTGGGGTTTTGTAAATTAGTCCTTTAGGATTGATCTGGATAAACATATTTAGGGGAAGCAAAGTGCGTTCAAAGTCTTTAAAGTTAGTAAAAACACTAATGAGCTAAATAAAAAATGAACTCTGCTATTAGTGAATTAGCTGTGAACAACAGATTTTTATGTAATCTGAAATATGGAAAACTTTTCTGAATATTACCAAGTCAAGATGTGGGATGAATTGATGCTTAGTTTAATGGTGGGCACACCATGCTTTTGGCTTTTACCTTTCTTTTGAACCAATTTGTTGGTTTTTCAGTTGAATTATACTGAATAAATGATACCATCATATGTAGAAAAAGTGGTAGAGTTGGTCAGTTCTTCCAATACCTCCCTGTTAACTCTGGGAGTTGAGCAGTTAGCTCTAATAAAACAAGGAGTTTGAAAATATGAAGCAGTGTTTTTCTTTCGAGTAATATAGCTTTCAAACATTGTGTTAAGTCAGTTGTGTTTACTGTCAAGTAAAAATCTCTCCAATCTGTCCTCCATTTCCAGAGGCATTTATCTCCAGACGAGTTTCAGCAGGTTTTTGGAATGACTCTGGAACAGTTTGACCGGATGGCCCTGTGGAAGAGGAACGACATGAAGAAGAAGGCCCGTCTGTTTTAGACCGTCATTATATAATCACTGCAACAACTGCAATCTTTAAGGAAGCAAAAGATAACGCCTGAAATATCAGTATGCACCTCCTCTGACTTTCCGCTTGTAAATCTCCATGTATTCTGCCTGTGCAGCTACATAGAGGCGCCCTGTGTGGGAATGTTTTCACATAATCGGGGGCAATAATGGAATGGTTGGCTTTTTGTATGCAGTTTGGTGTGAATGATTGAAAATCTCACAGAAGAGGAGATGTCTTTGCATGGTTTGTGTTTTTCTCCTTGCTTCCTGTGAAGTTCTGTGTCCTCCCCAGTTTTCTCCTGGTGAATTCATAAAATCTGATTTAAAAAAAATGAAGAACTTCTCTTTATCATTCTAGTTGTGGGCCTTCCCCCAGGCTTTCTGGGGTTCTGGATGTTTCATATGCACCAAACTTACATTTTCAAACACGAGCCGTCTTGTTTTTCTGCCTGTCGTTTGTTCTCTCTCTGTTCATCTTGTCTCCCACTTCAAAATGTTTTTGCTGCAATGCCCTTTTCTGTCTCTTTGTCCTCTGCCTCCTAACTCACTGGCTGCGTCTCCATCTCCATTGACCACATAATTGACATCTTAAAAATAAATTTGCTTAATCAAAACATTAATTTTGAAAAAACTTGATAAGAAGTTTGGCACCAGGATAAGGTGGTTCTTTTAGCCATACTGAAATTAATTTATTCTGCAAAACTGCAATGGAAACACTTTTTTCACAACACACAAGTCACATGATCATGAACATGATGTTGCTGCTGGCCCAAACTATGAAGAAGTCAACAGGAAGTAGTTAGTTGGAATATTATGGCAAAGCATGTTTTTAGTGACTTATTGCGTGAGCAAATATATTCATGTGTGATTTAATTGTGTTTCTTATTTAATGGAAACACTGCAAGTGTGAAATTGAGTTTTTTCAACATTAGTGTAATATCAACAGAGTTTTGCAGAAAAACATATTTTACATGAAGCCACACAGCTCTGCTCTGTGATGAGGAGAAAATGCTTGCATACATAGTTTTGTAATGGAAATACAAATACATTGACAAACAAGTTGATTTGGTTTACGCCATTGCCATTACGTTTAGGCATGGAAGACAAAGACGGAGTTCAAACCTGCCTGCGGTGATGATGTACTTCTTCAGCATCATATGCTTCCATGTTTCATTTTACTCATCTTCTAGTCTGAGAGTTTGATTGGTTCTGATGCATGCTCTGAACATTTCCAAGTTCCTTCTCTTTCTAACCCTTCAATTAACATCAGGCAGGAAGTGGATAGCAACCACATGAGACAGGAAATGGTCACATGACCAGGAATATTGGAAGGATCTTTAAACTTGTATTGAGGTGGATTGAAGTAAATTTAAATTGGACTGATTTAAAATCCAACACTCTGATACTCTGATGTTGTATTGTGTCCTCAGCTGGTTTGACATGAATTCCTGCATAGAGTCAAACTTCTATATTTTAAATGAATGCCATCAACTTGCTTGATTTTAATGGACTGTCAGCTAAGGCCACATCGCATCATATACAGAATGTGTGTTTAAACTGGACATATACCAGATTTATCTATCTCTATACAAGCCTTGTTGTATCTCTAAGCATGCATGAGGATGGAGAAATTGAGTTTCTCTACTGACCTCGTCTCAGAAATGTATGAAAACATCATCAGTGTTGTTTGAATATTTTATAGTCATAATGCTTGAATTCACTGTTTACTTTTGCTTCTGTAAGGTATTTATTTCTGGAAGTTATTTTATTTTAAAATAATTAGGGTGTAGTGTCAAATGCATAAGCATCACGTGATAAAGCTGATGACAAGAGCCATATCACATTTTGAGTTTCATTTTAATAAATTTTAATGTATGATCAAATGTTACACTAACTCCTGTTATTATCTTAACACTGAATTTCTAATATCCATCTGCTATTAAAGTGCTTTAACCAGACAGTGTTACTGTTGGTTTCAGTGCTTGTGCTTGGTGAATGTGAGTGTTATCCACAATCACGCCACACCTGAGCAGACTGCACACTTTAGTGTCACACAACTGTAAGCATCAGAGTTGAGTTCAAATTCAGAAGTTCTTCAATAATCCCAGAGGGAAATTAAATGTTGCTTCAACTCATGTGACCCAAGTTTCTTCAAAGAGTTGTAGATTCTGATGTCTGTGGGCAAGATGGATCTCCTGTAGCAATCGGTGTTACTGCAATTCTGAAGAAGCACCTGACTGAAGACACTGTTAGTAACCATGTTTCCACTGACTATATAATTGTGCAATTGACACTTTGAAATTAGATTTGCTTAATGGAAATTTAGTGTGAGTTGGCCTTTTTGGCCATATCCAAGTTTTTTTGTGCAGCACATTACAGCGACAAGGCACTTCAAAGTGCTTTGCATCATTAAAACGCAGAAATACAAAGTCATAGAACACACAGTCAATAATTGAAGCATTACATTTTCAAGTATCATCGTTAAATATCAGAATATTGATTGTTTTATTGATTTTGTTTCAAAAGCAACTCTAAACTGGTGGGCTTTCAGTCTAGATTTTAAGAAGCTCAGTGGTTCAGCTGTTTTGCAGTTGATGAAACAACGGCAGGTTTTTAATGTAATGTGCTAAACCATTGTGTGATTTATGAACAGTATTTTATAAAATACTTTAGCCTTTTACCTTAAATAAGGTATTTGCTATTTCTCTTACATATTAGCCATGCTTAGCATACTGAATGGAGTAAGTCAATTATTGACAACATGCTAGTGATGCCCCACGTGTCACGTATTCACGCTAACATTAGCATTTTGGCTAATTTTGGCCAAAATGCAAAACCATTCAGTTTTAACATACTGAATGGTGCAAGTCCATGCTAGTCAACATGCTTGTGACTCTCCACAGGCTATTGAATACATTACAGCTTTCTTTAGCATTGATGCTAATTCTGATGCTAATGTTTAGCATCAGAACGCTGGGTCCAAACCGTCGGGCACACTTTGGCAGGCCCCGGTTAAATTTCTTCAGGAATTTTGTAGTTGGCTAGTACTACACAATGGCACCATGTGTATGTATGAAAAATACCCTTATTAGAATGATATACATGAATATTGATATTTATGTCGTAGAGAATTTGTTTACATCTCATTTGTCTATGCAGGCCAATGCTGTGCTATGATAGACCTTATTTAATGAAAATGTTAACAACTGGTGTCTCTAAATCAGTTCTTTAGAATGGGTTTATGTGCAGTAATTCTCCTTCATGGTTATCTTTTGCTGCAGCCCAACAAATCTATACTGAGCCACAAACACAAAATGCATATCTATCTTGGATATTCTATTCTTTGTTTTCATTCTTTTCAAAGCAGCAACAGATCTGCTGCTTTGTTGCTTTATTTTCATCCCCTGAACACAAGGGCTTCCAAACAGGACCCACCTCCCCCGCTCATGGCCTCTGATTGGTTGCTGGTTCTGTCGGTCATTCATGATCAGTGCCCCCTGCCCATTCTTTATTGTTGCCGTCCACAAAGCAATATTAAAGTCTAACATGGAAACAAAGGAGCACAGCGACAGAGGTAAGACTGACTACTGCTTTAAAACAGTGTCATTCATAGGTTGGATGTGCATTGTTGGCTTTGGTGTGAAGTGGCTGTCAGAGGCCATGCAGCTGCTCTGTCTGTGTGAATGTGAGGCTCAGATCATACAGTGAACCATCTGAACCGTCAGTGTGTTTCTGTCTCTCAGTTTTCTTATGTCTTCTTTATTTTGGAAGTTTTCTGCCTGTAACATTTGAAACATTTTCTACATACATGTTTACCAGTCAGTTATTTCTACAACTAGAATGCTGTGTGTTTATCTTAAGTTGAGCTTATAATAATTTAAACTATTGTAGTGGCTTATTTGACAAATAAATAAATAAATAAAATAATGAAAGCTGCTCATAAATGCACTTTATCAGACAAGCAAAGTGTGTGTTGAACACAGTGCAGTGAATAGGAGTGTATACAAAGAGCCATGTGGTGAAGTAGGCAGAATGAGATGAGGTAAAGCAGGAGGAGGAGGAGGATAAGGAGGAAGAGGAAGAAGAGAAGGCAGGGTGGTTCCAGCATCACCAACCCAGAAGGAGGGAGCAGAATGGGGGAGGAGAAGAGAGCAGCTGGGACCCCATTCTCCCTTCTGTCTGTCTCAGGCCAGAAGACATTATTGAGTAGCTAAAAGCAGGACTTACTTTATCCATAATTTGCATGATTTGGTTTTATTGTAGCTTTAGACTTATTTTAATTTTAGTAAAATATTATTTTTCACAATGTCTGTATTATCAGGAGGAATCACAGACATAAGTTGATGTTCCTCCCGACTCACTTACCTACAGATAATGCAGCTCAGGCCTGTGGGATAAATCCAATTCATCAAACACAGAAGCACAACCTTCAGACCAAACCTGGCATCAATATTAATTTGGCTGAAATTAATGAGAACATCTGCTGGCTTAGAAAATGGAGTTTAATTAGACCTGCAGAAATCATGAGATATTACTTGTTGGCTAATTTAAATGTATTTACACATTTTTTGAAAGACATGTTGCCAAAAGACTTGTTAAATAAATACATGAGACATAAACATGAGCATGCATGGAGAAATGTGGCTGTGAGTTTTCATGCCCTTTCTACTTTTCAAAATTTTTGTCCCATTTGAACTGCAAACTTTAATACATCATTGGGAATTTATGTGAGTGACCAAAATAATGTAAGGGAAAATTGTGAAGAGGAAGAAAACGGTGTTAAAAAATTTTGTACAAACAAATACCAGAAAAGTGTAATGTGCATATGGATTAAGCGGTCATTACGCTGCTACTCCTAATTAAAATGCAGTGTAAGGAATTGCCTTGAAAAGTCATCTAATTAGTAGAGCTCATTACGCCTTAAAATTGCAATGCAGTTAATCTTTCATTTTTTAAAATACAAAAGTCCAGAGTTGAAAAATTGATATTCCATAAATCTGATGCACAAGTGATGTACATAAACTACAGAGATGGATGACAAAGCTTGGCCCACCCCAAGCGTCTTCTCTTTAATCCAACTTAAATCCAACTGTTTTGAAGCTGCGATGTCAGAATGCTTGTTGAAGATTGAGAATTTCTGTGTGAAATTATGGGGAGCATAAATTAACATGATCATAGCTTTGGGAGGAGAAGACTGCATCAGCATCGTCAAAAACTCTGTCTTGGCTCAGGTTAGCTGAGTCCCCATCAGCCCTGGTTTAGTCAACTTTAATCAAACTCTACTTAATTTACCTAGAAAGTAGGTAAATGACATTCATACCTTCATTTGTGGAGGTGCAAATGCCCCCAAACAGATCCACATCAAACTCTGATGTTTTTTTTATCTTTCTGCCACAAAAAAACAATCTGATTAGACACTGGAAAAGACTATTGTGTTCAAGTTGTGCTAAAAGGATTTGGCCTATCCAGGATTATACTGGATTTAGCTGCTTCATCCATCTTCTCAGCAGCTCTGATCAGCTTCCCTGCTCTGTAACAGCATGGTGGTAACAGCATGGTGTAACAGTATGGTGTAATAGCATGGTGGTAACAGCATGGTGTAACAGCATGGTGGTAACAGCATGGTGGTAACAGCATGGTGGTAACAGCATGGTGGTAACAGCATGGTGTAACAGTATGGTGTAACAGTATGGTGTAACAGCATGGTGGTAACAGCATGGTGGTAACAGCATGGTGTAACAGCATGGTGTAACAGTATGGTGTAACAGTATGGTGTAACAGCATGGTGGTAACAGCATGGTGTAACAGTATGGTGGTAACAGCATGGTGTAACAGCATGGTGGTAACAGCATGGTGTAACAGCATGGTGGTAACAGCATGGTGTAACAGCATGGTGGTAACAGCATGGTGTAACAGCATGGTGGTAACAGCATGGTGTAACAGTATGGTGTAACAGCATGGTGGTAACAGCATGGTGTAACAGTATGGTGGTAACAGCATGGTGTAACAGCATGGTGGTAACAGCATGGTGGTAACAGCATGGTGTAACAGCATGGTGTAACAGCATGGTGGTAACAGCATGGTGTAACAGTATGGTGTAACAGCATGGTGGTAACAGCATGGTGTAACAGGATGGTGGTAACAGCATGGTGTAACAGCATGGTGGTAACAGCATGGTGTAACAGCATGGTGGTAACAGCATGGTGTAACAGTATGGTGTAACAGTATGGTGTAACAGCATGGTATAACAGCATGGTGTAACAGCATGGTGGTAACAGCATGGTGTAACAGTATGGTGTAATAGCATGGTGGTAACAGCATGGTGTAACAGCATGGTGGTAACAGCATGGTGGTAACAGCATGGTGTAACAGCATGGTGTAACAGCATGGTGGTAACAGCATGGTGGTAACAGCATGGTGTAACAGTATGGTGTAACAGCATGGTGTAACAGTATGGTGTAACAGCATGGTGGTAACAGCATGGTGTAACAGCATGGTGGTAACAGCATGGTGTAACAGCATGGTGGTAACAGCATGGTGGTAACAGCATGGTGTAACAGCATGGTGTAACAGCATGGTGGTAACAGCATGGTGTAACAGTATGGTGTAACAGCATGGTGGTAACAGCATGGTGTAACAGCATGGTGTAACAGCATGGTGTAACAGCATGGTGGTAACAGCATGGTGTAACAGTATGGTGTAACAGTATGGTGTAACAGCATGGTATAACAGCATGGTGTAACAGCATGGTGGTAACAGTATGGTGTAACAGTATGGTGTAACAGCATGGTGTAACAGCATGGTGGTAACAGCATGGTGTAACAGTATGGTGTAACAGCATGGTGGTAACAGCATGGTGTAACAGTATGGTGTAACAGCATGGTGGTAACAGCATGGTGGTAACAGCATGGTGTAACAGCATGGTGGTAACAGCATGGTGTAACAGCATGGTGGTAACAGCATGGTGTAACAGCATGGTGGTAACAGCATGGTGTAACAGTATGGTGTAACAGTATGGTGTAACAGCATGGTGTAACAGCATGGTGTAACAGCATGGTGGTAACAGCATGGTGTAACAGTATGGTGTAACAGTATGGTGTAACAGCATGGTGTAACAGCATGGTGTAACAGTATGGTGTAACAGTATGGTGTAACAGTATGGTGTAACAGTATGGTGTAACAGCATGGTGGTAACAGCATGGTGTAACAGCATGGTGTAACAGCATGGTGGTAACAGCATGGTGTAACAGCATGGTGGTAACAGCATGGTGTAACAGCATGGTGTTACACCATGTGTCATGTGGAGCACAAATTATCACACCTGCGCTTTGAATCTCTGCAACTGTTCCAGTCAAAATACTCTTTGGAACCTGACGAATTTTGACTAAATTATTTTTGTCCAGACATCTATGAATTCTAACAGATTCTGAACATTTCAAATAAATATATAAAGTGAAACTATTTTTTAAATAGTTTTTCACTTTTATTTTGTATTAGATTCTCCATGTGAATACTGTAAAGAGACACAAATAATCCAACGTTTTTTCAGAACCCTAAACATTTGGTCAGCTACTAATGGGACTGCTGATTAATATTCTACTCTACAACATTGACAGACACATGTTGGATGTTTTTTGTGAATGCTGACACATTTCAAACTTCACAAGGCTCATAAGAGATCACTTTTTTTGTGTGGCCAGATTCATACGTCAGCTGACCTGGCTACTGTGGTCAAATTGAATTCCCAGACTTCTTCAGACATGCAACTGTTTGCTCCTTTTCCTTCAACCTTTTCCATATTAGTTTGTTTGTGTGTGTGTGTAACGTGTGTATGTGTCTTGGTATTTTGTTATTTGTGTGAAAGGCCAGCACAGTTTCTCTACAAGCTGAATCCAGCTATTCAACAATAGACAATGGCAGGTAGACGAACTGTAAACATCCTGTGAACTTCTGCACAGGATGGGTGTCAACGACAGGGTCTTAACTTTTTATCTTGTTTGGTCTTTCATGTTTAAACATGTTCTGGAGTTTTGATCCAAAATTACATCCTGGATTTTCTTTGTTTCTTTAAAAAAACCACATGTTGTGTTGGATTTTTGGAATGGTTGTTGAAGGTTAAGGATTTTACTGTAAAATTGTGGGGAGCATGAATTACAGAACATGGCTATAGGAGCAGACTGAATTAGCATTGTGGGAGTCGTGGCTCAGTAACAGAATATCTCCAGTTTGTTAGTTGAAATTTAGTAAACTTTAATCAAACTCTACTTCATTTCCCTAGAAAGTCTGTTTCGTTTGGGGAGGTGTGAATGTGTAATCAAACTGATGTGAACTCTGGTCCATCTACAAACCTCAGTCTAGAAACTGTATCTCAGATTCCCATACTGCCTCCAAATAAACTCCCCCACATGGACGGCTGCTCGCGCCAGTGTGCTCATTCTCTTGGCATTGACTTGTGCAAGAAGGGATTAAATCATCTGGACCGAGGGAGTCTCAGCACAGCAGACAGATGGCTGACCTCTGACCCTGCTTCTTCTTACCGTAACACAGTTTTATTTGTGTTCAAATGTTGCCCTT